AGGAAACTGCCACAAACCATACAGATGATGCAGGATCACTAATAATAACATAGTTACAATCATTGGATTCAATGAATTTAAAAGGAAGAGTGATATCCCATACCTTTGCTAAGGAAGAATGGTTTCTTGCCTTCCTTAGCTAGTTTCCTCTCAACCTTCTTGTGCTGTCTCTCCGAGTCTTTCTTCTCTTCCTGTCTGCTCTTATCACGTGAGTCCTACTCCTACAAAGAAAGACAACAAAGACAGAAATAAAAAATAACAAATTATTATTATTATTATCAAGACTCAAGAGTGGCTCTTGTCATTTTAATAGTAATGTGTACCACAGGCTATGCTGAATTAGCACTCTTAAAGGTTAGCTTTCTATTACAACCTCAAAGCTTTCACAACTACACACAATCTGATTTGTATTGATGGCCTACTTCCTCAAATTAACGATGTTGTACAAACAGGTACAATAAACCCATCATACACTATATAGATCTACATGGATTTACTTATCATTTTCTGAATACATGTCAAGTACATCAGCATATGATCAAATACATGAATACAAATTATGGTAATTATGTGGTTTGCGTAATGAGGGGTACATGTATTTGACATTATGTCAACAGTTGTAGATGCTATTGTTGCATGTTATGTCAACACTAAACAGCGAAGCAGGAATTTGATGATAATGTTTCAATTGTTTTAAACAAGTACATGTATTTATGTCATTCAACATTAGGTGTTGATGAAGTTGCAAGGAATCAGAAAGTATCAAAAGATTCATGTCAGTTGACACAAGAATCGCCTTTTAACACAAGAGTCAACTCAACACCACCTGTTGAACCAGAGGCTGAAATTGAATCTCCTATAGACAAGAAAGAAGATTAGTAACAATAACATTTATAAGTGCAAAAATTAAGGTTTTATAGCTAAAAATAATTATAAGTTTGCTACACACATGTACACACAAAAAATGTAAATTTCGAATGCATTATTATAAATTATTATTTATTATTATTATTATCTAGTATTATTACATATTCATTTGTATTGTTTTGCCTAGAGAGGGTGAGGAATGATGGGGAATGAAGATTAATGGAACCACACACAGTCTGTGTACATGTGTCTTATTCTGCTTTTAAAGAAGTGATGTTTTCTTGGGCAAGTAATTAGATAATGCAATGAAGTGCCACACACAGTATAACAACATCTTTGAATGTTGGTATTCTCTCCTCCTTAGCATGAGAGGTAGGAGAGGAGCGAGGGAATGAAAAGAGGACACACACACATACGCATGAGAATATGCCACATTGGCATAATAGGCTTCACTATAGTAAATGTAATCGAGGTGGTTATTATTGAAATTAATTTTATTAAACTTGCCCCCTTACCAACAGTATGTGTATAACTGCCAATACACACATAAACACATTATAACATGTCCTTAGCATTATAATTGATTGGAGAGATAGCATAATTGTATAATGGTTGTCAATAACTTGGCTCAGGTGCATGTTTTAGATTCTTCTAGTTACTAAGAATACATTCATTGTAATGATAACAACGTAACAGTAACAATGCAAACTGTTAAACAGGCACTCTTCATGTAGTCTCATTTGTACTACTAGTGGCATAATGAGTATAGAGAACCCAGTTATGGTAGTTAACCAAGCAAAAAAGGATTATAATGGACATGATAAGAATGTACATACATGGGGGTTGTAAGGCTAGGATACATGTTATACTCCAAGGACAAGCTTCCCTCTGTAAAGAGGAAGCACAAACAACCTGGACAACCTGGGCAACCTGCTTATAGTGTGCAATGTATTTGCTAAGTACATACCTTTACCTGTGCTTTTTGTTATTATACAATTGTGTGGTATTTGTTTATTCTCATAGTGTTTATCAATCAGTTTATTCATTGTAATGGGATTTAAAATGTGAAGAGAGAAGGAGAGAGAGAGAGAGAGGGTTTAATGAGGAAAAGAAAAATTAGAATTGGCAGTTAATTAGTGTATCATAAAATTATGTGAAAAAATGAAATGAATGGGATCAGTGTGAAGAGCAATCTGGCTACTGCTGTATCAACCTATGATAACGTCAATAGACATTATGATTGCGTTATAAACTTTGAATCACACCACTGGAGGACTGTGATATTATCTCATTAAGGTTATTATGGCTGACGGGGAAGCTTTTTAGTTTTTAGTTTACATAAGATTCCTCTTATGTCATTATAGCATTAAAATGATACCTTTTACATACAGGAAGGATAGACACTTTAATTGTGTGCGAGACTATTTGAAGCATTTGCAGTTTTCATTGAACAGGTGGGCCATCTATTCAAACAGGTGGGCTTATTGCATGACCATATCTTTTCCCTTGTGATTTTGTCCTTGTTTGTCCACTTAATATTGTATATTATACACTAAAATATGTAGTACATTATTTTAGTCTATGTAAGCATGCAAGGTGCATGTACAATAACTCTGGTACAGTCCATGCATCAGCGCCATTCAGTAGAGTAGGAGCAGGGGGTGCACAATATTGTTGGATATTGCTAAACTACAATACAGAGAGGTGTCTTATGAGTGCATATGGCTGACATGTGACTGCAGTACATGTACATGGCCACATACATACATGGACATAAAAATGCTTATATTAATAACATTGACTTTCATGCACCCTCAAAATAGCTGTTTTCCTATTCTACTGCATGTTTGTTTATTTTATGTCAAGTTGTGCACTTACTCCTGTTTCTGTTCATTAAGCATATAGTAAATATTGTTCTTCACTTCCTTGTGTGTATGTGTAGTCTATAGGGGTCTGGCCAGCAAAACTATGTGTGGGTGTCTGTGTGTATGTCATAAATTAACTTTGCAAGACAGCAATGTCTTTGTCTTACAATTGAACTAAATGCAAGTGTGTGTGTCTGTGTGTGTGTGCACACACAGACAGAGTGAGTAGTAGAGTGGGATAATACACCAATAATTACTTACAATCATTTATTGCATTTTGGTTTAAGAAATATGTAATATCAGTTTAGCTAAGCATGACAACTTTTTCAAGGCCATGGAATTGAAACTTTGCAACAGGAACACCGTTGTTCATGGCCATGTTTGTTCAGAATTGTTTGTTCAATGTTTGGCAATTTTAAATGTTTGTTCATATTTTCCATTATAACAAACCATAGTTATACCTAATGCGTGGGTTTGATGACTACTTTAACCATTTATTGTGACATTATGGTGACATCTGTTCACATTTTCAATTAGTACGATGCGTGGGCATGTCTATCATGCACGTAGGCGACCGGAAATGACCAGTTATTAATAAGTACTATTAATAAAATGCAAGTTTTCTATAAAAATACATGGCTGAGCTACTAGCGAGGCTACAAGCCTACAACTTGCAAGAAATGGCTGATATACCAAAAAGTCTAGTGCGCACTGTTACAGTGCATGAGAATACTGATCCAGAAGAGCTTCAGAATTCGTTTCAATCAGAAAATCAAGACCGGCCTTGTCAGGACAAGAAGGAAACGGAGTCCTGCCAACCAAGCTGCACTGAAAATGCTGGACCTGATGCAGTTGTCTTTTTGAAAAGTATCTACTACTACACAGAAAGCACAAAGTAAATGAGCAATTTTATGGTAATTTTATAAACCTCAAGAGTACTACTGAGAAAAAACGACTAAGCAGCTTATTAAAAGCCACAAATAGGCCACTCATATTATACTTAATACTGTCGTTCTTTTTTTCTTCTTTTTAATTGCAGATACTGCAAAGTGAATAGTACTACAGGAGAAAAGGTGCAACTTTGCATGCCATCCGTCCGCCATGTGTTCAGCCAGCCCCCGATCCTTCCCCTCATTACTTTTATACTAACGGATGATGAGATCAAAACTGTCGCTAAACTGTGAACCCTGTCGGCCCCCTAGCCCTCTCTTCTCTCTGTCCCTCCTGCCCTCTCTTCTCTGTCCCTCCTGCCCGCCTCTGTGATGATGTAGTCTCTGTCCGCAATATTGTCCAACAAGTCTCTCTCTTTTAATCTCTGCAGCAGAGTGTGTGGTGTCTTCTTTCATAGTCAAGAAAAGAACTTGAGTCAAAGTTTGACTTTTCATATAGTCGATCCTGGGGCGTATCGTCTTCATACACGTGTTGGACTATGTTAATTGAATCTTTATCTCTTAATTAATTATTTTTAGTTTTCTTTCATGTCATGTGATTGATTATTGTTATTTATATTATTGTTATTATTACTATTGTTGTTTTAAGCTCATCATCTTTTTATTATATAATACATTAAATGAATCTTATGTCACAGAGCGACGAGGTAACATCCTCTTCCTTTCTTTCGCAGTACTTCTCTTTCTCCTTTTTCTCAACACTCTTTCTAATTGTCCTGACTCCTTTAGCTCCTTATATCTCTTAACCAGTAATGCTTTACGTTGTAATGCTACAGTGAGAGAGAGAGAGAATAGCTATAATTATCATCTCTCTTATGGCGACTCATAGGCAAGGCAGTCCAGCCTTGAGAACTGGAGGTGGTGGGGTTTCAAACAGGCCTCCTCAACAACCAACGGAAACCAGCCAGAAATAAGAGATTGGGTTATACCAAGAGTTGGTGCTAAACATTATGTGTGTGTGTGTGTGTACATTCCCAATATTCGTAGTGAATTAAGTACGTGTGCATTCCTAGTAATATTGATAGTGGATGAAGTGTGTACAGTAGTCTGTTACCCCCCAACATATTCAGCAAAACAAAAGACACACTTGTGCTTTAAATTATAATATACATTAGAGGAGATGGGTTAGGTATTCATTTTTAAGTGTGTTAAAGAAATTTTTTGGGAACAATATACTAATACATTGTTGACTTAATCATGTGAGTACAAGGAAAGAAAGGGAGCGAGAGAGAGAGTGCAGAAAGAGAGACTATCACAACATAATGCAATATTTGTTCATGTTGTATTATTGTACAACATGTACATTAATGTATTATACATGTAGATCTATATTTTTTGCACAACTGCTGTGTATATACAAGGAGAGAAAGGAAAGTAGTGTTATGATACACTATTTAGTAGTGTAGCTCTGGCTCTCCTCCAGGAGAGAGAGAAAGAGCAAGCTTATCATGACACAATGCAATAGTTGTTTATATTATATGTACATGTACCGCATTATACATTTAGATCTATATTTGTGCACAAGCTGTGTATATACAAGGAGAGAACTGGAGGGAGTGTTATGATAAGCTCAATCTCTCTCCTCTAGGAGAGAGAGAGAGAGAGAGAGAGAGAGAGAGAGGGAGAGGGAGAGGGAGAGGGAGAGGGAGAGGGAGAGGGAGAGGGAGAGAGAGAGAGAGAGAGAGAGAGAGAGAGAGAGAGAGAGAGAGAGAGCTTATCATAACATAATGCAATAGTTGTTTATATTATATGTACATGTACCGCATTATACATTTAGATCTATATTTGTGCACAAGCTGTGTATATACAAGGAGAGAACTGGAGGGAGTGTTATGATAAGCTCAATCTCTCTCCTCTAGGAGAGAGAGAGAGAGAGAGAGAGAGAGAGAGAGGGAGAGGGAGAGGGAGAGGGAGAGGGAGAGGGAGAGGGAGAGGGAGAGGGAGAGAGAGACAGAGAGAGAGAGAGAGAGAGAGAGAGAGAGAGAGCTTATCATAACATAATGCAATAGTTGTTTATATTATATGTACATGTACAGGAGTATCAATGTACATTAATGTATTATGTAGACAAGAGTGGATATCTATATTTGAGCACAAGCTGTGTATATACAAGTAGAGAAAGGGAGGGAGAGAGAAAGGAAGAGGAGAGAGAAAAAGGAAGAGGAGAGAGAGAAAGGAAGAGGAGAGAGAGAAAGGAAGAGGAGAGAGAGAAAGGAAGAGGAGAGAGAGAAAGGAAGAGGAGAGAGAGAAAGGAAGAGGAGAGAGAGAAAGGAAGAGGAGAGAGAGAAAGGAAGAGGAGAGAGAGATCCTATCACAACATAATGCAATAGTTGTTTATATTATATTATAGTATTAATATACATGTAAAGGAGTATTTGTGCACAAGCTGTGTTTACATATTTACGTATTGTGCACAAGTGACAAATTAGCAAAATAAATTATTATAATTTTATACCCATTGTCTTTTTTTCCAAGTCATTTATTTTAAATAATGATGACTTATTATATAATGTCAGCAAGAATAAAAAAGAGCCAGGAAGTAAAAGTTTGCTAAGATAGCAATTGGAACTATGCATCATCACACAGGAGGGAGCACTTGGACTACTACACTCTAATTACATTATGCATGCTACATGTACTTCTATACATAATACATGTACATGTATCACATTGAAAGCAGCTGTATTGCTACTCCTATCCTATAAACTATGAACAACTCCTATATTATAGTGAGGCAAGTATACAAGTTCCACACCATCAAAACAGGAAATCATGAGACAGCAATACTAATTAATCCTCCTTTAGAGTCATTGGTCAATGATTAAAAGGAAAGGAGTGATGTTTTGTACCTTTGCTGAGGAAGAATGGTTTCTTGCCTTCCTTGGCTAGTTTCCTCTCAACCTTCTTGTGCTGTCTCTCCAAGTCTTTCTTCTCTTTCTCTTTCTGTCTGCTCTTATCACGTGATTCCTATAAAGACAGAAAGAAAAATAACAAGTCCTACCATCATTATAAACCCACTGGCACTAATAGGCAGTTAGACACTCTCCCTAAACTCTCTTATCTGGCACTCCTGATTATAGTAATGTATGTACATAGTACTGCAGGCACTAGGCTAATTAGCCATGTAATCTGATTTGCATTGATATACTACTTCCTCAAAATAACATTGTTATACAAACAGGTACAATAAACCCATCCAAAGCTACAATAAACCCATCCACAGGTAAAGTAAACCCATCTGTAAACTATATACATGGAATTACTGACCATTTTTTGAAGACATGTCTCCAGTTTCTTTTTCTTCAGTGGGTCTTTAGTCTTCCTGGCTTCAGTCTCCATTTGAGCTCTCTCTTGTTTCTTCACATCTTCAAGGAAAGAGAAACTCTTTGAGAACAAGTCAAGATTCAAATGTCCACACCTTTCATCAAAACGAGGATCCATTCTCTTCTCCTATGCATGCACAAAGGGGAAGGAAAGGAAGAGGATAGAAAGGGAAAGGAGAAAGAGGAAACAATAGGAACAGAGAGTACAAAAGAGGAGAGTAAAATAATAGTAGAGGAAGGGAAAGAGAGAGAGAGAGCAAATAGTCTACTATAATCTTGTAAAAATGTTTACCTTTTTAGGGACTTGTATAACTTGTTTAAATCTACTAACATGCTTCTTTGATGACATTTCTCGGGGCCTGAGAGTGAAAAAAACATTGCTTATAAAAATTTGCAGCACACATCCTCCAGCTTTCACAAGAACTACATAAATTTGCTTGCCAGTTGGCACCATTTCAAAAATTGTGCACAAGCGGCCATAATTGGCTTGAATGATAAACAAGTTGTACACATTATGCATTGGTCTGGCTGGCGATACTAAATATTTATACATCTCACCTATTCTTGCTTGTCCTTTTGAAATCTTTATTATCATTGTCCTGTACTCTTAAGTGCTTTTGAAATGTATTGTCAAATCTAGACAGAAAGGGAATAGAGAGAAGGAGAGGAGAAAGATGAGAGAGAAGGCCAGGACCATATTTTTAATTGTTTCTTTCTTACTTCTTTGTCCCCACTTTCTGTCTAAGGTCTTGAAGCTGCCCCAATGGTATATTTGATATTTCTAAGGAAAGAGTTCAAATCTAAACCAAACTTTAGTTCCATAACTTCCATTACCCTGTCTGATATCAGCCTCAGTGTCATCAGCCATCTTAAATGAATGGGTGTGCCTTATCCAAAATCTGGGTCTCAAGCTAATGGATGAAGATGTTGATGCCTTTAAAAAAGAATTTAAAAGATTCAAAAGACCAAGCGAGGATGACATAAAAGACATCATTGATTTCACTCAACCTGAAAGGTTTAATGAGGTACATGTACATCAGTTTTATTAAAGTTTTTATTATGTCCATTGTCCCTTGTATCAGTATAGATCCTTACTATCCAGACAGTAGTTGATCCTCCTCCATTAGGAGCTTCAATCAGTGATGTACAATCATCGTGTAATGAGTTAGGATTAACATTACCAAGCGAATGGAAAGTTTATAGTCTCAAAACCATACCTGGTAGGCATTGTGACGTACTGATGACGTACAATGACATCTTAATGTGTTAAGAGATTATATATACGATTAAAGTCAGTGCACTGCATGGTGGTTGACAGATAAAGTGCTACTACAAACCATTATTATAACAAATGTTAGACACATTAGATATTATAATAAGACACTTTGTAACTTTGTTCAATGCACTGCTTGGTGTTTGAGCATTTATACAAACCATTATTACAGCAAAAGTTAGACACATTAGATATTATAATAAGACACTTTGTAACTTTGTTCAATGCACTGCTTGGTGTTTGAGCATTTATACAAACCATTATTACAGCAAAAGTTAGACACATTAGATATTATAATAAGACACTTTGTAACTTTGTTCAATGCACTGCTTGGTGTTTGAGCATTTATACAAACCATTATTACAGCAAAAGTTAGACACATTAGATATTATAATAAGACACTTTGTAACTTTGTTCAATGCACTGCTTGGTGTTGAGCATTTATACAAACCATTATTACAGCAAAAGTTAGACACATTAGATATTATAATAAGACACTTTGTAACTTTGTTCAATGCACTGCTTGGTGTTTGAGCATTTATACAAACCATTATTACAGCAAAAGTTAGACACATTAGAAGACACTTTGTAGCTTTGTTTAGGGTAGACAAGCAAATTTAATGCGTAGACACATACAAATGTATAGACAGACACATACAAAAGTATAAACACACTCAAGTATGCAAATTCAGCATAGCCTAGATTAAGATATTGCAGATATTCTTTAAGTACACACAGGTTATACCTATGTACCTCTTTTCTTAGAAATCATGTACAGTGAGTATTCTTGGCATTATGATCAAGTCACTTTATTTATAAAAAATGACATATTTGACATGTTAGACATTGTGAGACACATTGTGCTGAATTTGCATACTGTAAGCACATTGAGTGTGTCTGTACTTTGTATGTGTCTGTTTATAGTGTGCCCACATTAATTTGCTTGTCTATATCCTAAACAAAGTGTCCCTGACTCCTTGTCCCAGTTTCATAAAATATAAAAAATAGACTCAGTATGTATATAGACATACAGCAACTGCTAAGCGTTGTAATAAGCATATGAAACTGGGATGGGAGTCAGGGACACTTTGTTTAGGGTAAACAAGCAAATTAATGTGGACACATACAAATGTATAGACCATACACATACAAAAGTATACAGACACACTCAATGTGCTTATGTAAATTCAGCATAGCTTAGATGTAGACACAGGTCCTGCATGTAGCTACCTCTTTTTCTTAGAAATGTACTAGTTATAGCAACTATAAACAAGCATTACTACATGGCAAACTCAGTGTACCTCATTCTTAAAGTGGACACATACAATACATGTACATACACCTGCTTGTAGTTACCTCTTTTTCTTAGAAATGTACTAGTGTACTAGTTATAGCAACTATAAACAAGCATTACTACATGACAAACTCAGTGTATCTCATTCTTAGAGTGGACACATACAATACACGTACATACAATGTATTAATGTGGACACTTAATGTATAGACATACACATACAAAAGTACAGACACACTCAATGTGCTTACAGCATGCAGATTCAGCATAGCCCAGATTAAGACACTGCAGACATTCTTAAGTACACACAGGTTATACTTGTGTGTACCTCTTTTCTTAGAAATCTACTTAAGCAACTATAAATAAACATTACTACACAAACACATATTTACTGAGCCTCATTCTTTTACATGCAGGACTGATATTCATTACTAATCCATTCCTGTGTGGAGGGCAGCACTATTGGATACAAAAGTGTCTATTACAGTATCCATTACTACCCAATGTCACTAACTTAGACTCACACATCAGCAGAACAGGATCAGGACAAATATGGCCAATGGGCGAGTGAGTGAATGATTGGACAATAATTCTGACATGTTATATGAGTATCCGATGTCAATAAGAAATCAATCAACCGTTGTACTACAATTGGATGTATTTTATGTCATTTTAATTGTAAAATAATTGCTAGCACATGTACATTGTTATAATATAACAATGTACATATATGCACATACATATAATACATGTACATATTATAATTATGTATGTACATACATTATGCATAATTATGTGATTAACTTTATACTACTATAGCTCACCAGTTTCAGTACATAAAGACTCTTTGCTTTATAAGTTACGCTGGGTGACACTAGGCTATCATTACAACTGGACCTCCAAATTATATCACAAAGAGCATCACTCGCCTTTTCCATCTGACCTCTCTCTCCTCTCTCATTTTATCCTCTCCTCCGTCGGTTTTCCAGACTTCAAAGCCGAGGCAGCCATTGTTAACTATTATCACTTTGAGTCGACGCTCTCAGGCCACACTGATCATTCTGAAGCTGATCTCACTTCTCCTCTAATTTCCCTCAGGTATGTTAATCGTATTGTTTATTCATAATGCATCAAGTGTGTTTTGTTATTTAAGCTTGTTGTCAATCAATAACTCTGTTTTGTCTGCCTGTAACTTGAGATTGTTACACTATCGTAGCATAAGAAAGGAATGTTAATAGAGTGGGGGATTCAATATTACAATTCACCGACTAGCAGTCACCAATGATGGACAAGTTGTTTGTCATACATGTACATGTACCTGTAACCATCTTAATAAATAATTCTTTTATTCCCCCAATACAGCACTGACACTATCAGTAATTGAATATTAGCAAGAGAAATAGCTACATGTACATGTATATAGAAATCATTCAAATGCTCCTCTCCCACAATTTATGATCTCTCATTGCCAAGCTATTTTAATACCCTTACTCATATTTGGGGCTATTAAAAGGGGGACTTGTTTTTACAAATTATAATACATGCTGGCCATAAACATGTGTACTATCCAAACTGCTTCTATTAATAGTAGTAACCATAAATGGTAATGATATAGCTTGTTAGAGACTAAAAGAATATCTAATTATAGCTAGTATGAGCTTTATATTCTATTTATAGTTAGTATGAGTTTTGTATTCTATTTATAGTCCACATAAATTGACAAATACCAACAGGATGCTCACTCATAAACCAATTATACTGTACACAGACAGACAAAGTATAACCTAATTAAAAGATTAACAGACACACACCAGTGATGGTACTTTTACCACTTTTACCATACATACTCACAGTACAATAAAGTGTATCACAGTACAGGCAGGTGCATCATGTGATTTGGATGAACAAATTCAGATTTTAGTACCAAATAAGTGTTTTGCACATGCAGCAAAGTGGAATTATAATAATAAGACCACTTAATGTAATCTGTCACTTAGACAGTACAGAAAAAAGTACCCAGAAATCAAATTATTAAAATGATTTCACTAGCTATAACAGTGCAGTGGAGAGTTATGCCAAAATATTCACATTTATTACCATTCTATTATTATCATTACATTTTTATAGTTTTGGCCAGTCAGCTATTTTCCTGATTGGAGGTCACACAAAGTCCATCCCACCATTAGCCCTCATGATAAGGAGTGGGGATATTATAATAATGTCAAAGGAGAGCAGATTAGCTTATCATGGTGTACCTAAAATCCTAAGACCAGGCAATGATGATGCTCCCATTCCTTACTGCCTGAGTAGAGAAGCACTTTTAAAGAGAAGAGAAATACAGAAAGACAATACTAAGTGCTCCATATGTGGGGCCACACTAATTGAGAGAGACAACAGTTTGAAGAGAGGGAGGAATGAAAAGGAGGATCAGAAAGGAGAAGAAAGTTATTGTTCGAAAAGAAAAGCTTTAATTGATGAACAACTTTCTGGTTCCAAAACACAGGAACCTAATATCAAATCTCCAAGTATCGAGACTCAAGATGATACACCGTGTAATAGTACTGATAATACTGTTAGTTCTGAAGTGACTGATGGTCATGATTTCATGTGTAGAGACTGCGAGTGGCTGCATTTAAATTGGACTGACATAGAATGTTACATGAATTATTCAAGAATTAACATAAATGTGAGACAAGTTGGTGAGATTAAGTGATAATAATATTGACACAAACACAACAAATAATCACAACAATGATTATGCTGATAATAATAATAACAACAATGATTGTAATACGGAGTCATTGATTATTAGATTAGTATTGTTTTATTGTAGTCTGCTAAGTTAATTACTATCATCAATAATTAGCTCGTACTGTTCAATTTCTCTAAACTCTCTATTGATTGATTCCACCAAATCGTCAAACTCATTACTCTAAAAAATTTAAAAAGTATTACTGATACATATTCATGTTCTTAAATTGTGGGAAAGTTTAAGCTGATTCCATTCAAAATTAGATTTTTTTACAAATTTTTTTAGTTACTAAAAAATCAGACCAAAATCCCTGTACTATAGTACAGGGATTTTGGTCAAATTTGACTAGGAGAGAGTCTTCCATTTTTATGATATTTTCTGATTCATATACATGTTCTTATGTTGTGTAGCAAGTTTGAGCTGATTCCGATCAAAATTAGATTTTTTACAAATTTTTAAAGTTACTCAAAATTTGGGCGAAAGTCCCTGTACTATAGTACAGGGACTTTGGCCAAATTTCACCAAAAATGACTAGGAGACAATTCCCCATTTTATGATATTTTCTGATACATATACATGTTCTTATGTTGTGTAGCAAGTTTGAGCTGATTCCGATCAAAATTAGATTTTTTATGAATTTTTAAAGCTACTCAAAATTTGGGCGAAAGTCCCTGTACTATAGTACAGGGACTTTGGCCAAATTTCACCAAAAATGACTAGGAGACAATTCCCCATTTTTATGATATTTTCTGATACATATACATGTTCTTATGTTGTGTAGCAAGTTTGAGCTGATTCCGATCAAAATTAGATTTTTTATGAATTTTTAAAGCTACTCAAAATTTGGGCGAAAGTCCCTGTACTATAGTACAGGGACTTTGGCCAAATTTCACCAAAAATGACTAGGAGACAATTCCCCATTTTTATGATATTTTCTGATACATATACATGTTCTTATGTTGTGTAGCAAGTTTGAGCTAATTCCTATCAAAATTGAATTTTTTACAAATTTTAAAAGTTACTAAAAATTTTATAGCAAAATACTTCTAAGACCCTGAGAGTAAAAGGCTCACCTGATGCTCTTTACTTTTCTTCTTAGCTCCTTTATGCTTCTTCTGCTTTTCCTTCTGATCAACAGAAAGACTATCCACATCACTAAAAGTAAGAGCCTTCACAGCACCTCCTTTCTTAGTTGCTCCAGTAACAGTTGAACCGGCAGTTACTTTAGGGGAGGGACTCTGAGACGGAGAAGGGAAAGCAAATGAGTTGATGTTAGCGTGAGAGGGCGATGGGAGAGAACTTTTCAAAGACGATTCTGGACTATCAAGAGTCTCGACCAAACGACTGAATCCAAAATTAGAGTGTCGCTTCGTTATTGATCCACGTTTAGTGTACGGTGTGGACTTATGATCAGGAGTGAGGATCGAGTCTAAATATGTACTAGCATTAGGTGTAACACCTTCGGCATCACCTTTTGACTTCTCCTCTTCGTCTTTTTCCTTAGATTCTTCTTGGCTAACGGTGACCTTTTTCTCACTCTTTTTCTTCCGTGATGAAGTAACGATGGATTTGTTCTCCTTGTTAGAAGAGCGAAGCTTTCTTGTCTGAGTCTTCAAAGTTTTAGCCTCTCCTTCAGTCTCCTCAGCTTCCTCCTCTCTCTTCTTGCTAGGACTGATCATCAGTGACAGCTCCTTCTCGCCATCAACTCTCTCTTCTTCCTCGCCTTCATGCTTATGCTAAGAAAAATATAAATTATACAACACATTCATGAGTGTTTTTAATGATAAATATCTCTTTTCACTCGTTCGCAAATTTTCAACTTTCTATGCCTTGGGCAAATCCACCAATAGATTTATGAATGCCCATAAATGGAAGTTATAAGGAAAAAATGATTTACAAGTACACAGTGCTAAAATGTGAACCACGTTTAAAAGGGGAGGGGCCGACTAGGATATTCGTATTTGACCCTCATAAGAGGTTGGGGTTTATATAGCCTGGCTGGACACACCTTTAGGGATCATTTTTACTTCCAGTGGCAAATATCCTAGCTAATCTAAGGGGAGGGCTTTGCTAAAAACCTAGACTACTAACAACCTAACATCAAATCATTTCATCACATCAAACTGTGTGTTGCTCACAAAATATTTTCTTTGAAGTCTTTGCACGGTCTCCTGGGCTTGCTCCGGGTCCATTTCACTCGGTGTTAGCTCGTTGTAGTCTTCTGCTCCACTAGAAAGAAGGCCTGCCTCTTCCTCTGGACGAATTGGTCTGTTAGACTCTTTAAACGCCTTTTTCTGTTGCTTTTTCCCACGTCTTTCTCCACTTCTGGAAGGCCTGGCAGACGCCATGTTGTTCTCAATGTTCTGCTGTTTTTGAAGTTGCCCGCGGGAAAAGTCCGGTTTGTGCTCAGGATTGGCTCCGTATATTCAAACCACGTGCTTAAGAAAAATGGCGAAGTTACGAATCCTCTGTTTACATGGATACAGGCAAAACGAGTCGATATTTAGAGAAAAAAGTGGTGCTCTGAGGAAATTACTCAAGCGAGAAGCCGAATTCTTTTTCGTAAACGCACCACACATCATCACAGGAGACCCAGGCAACTTAGAAAGACCATTGGAGTTACAAGAGAGGGCGTGGTTCTTCTCAAGACCCGACCACACCTACAAGGGAACAGATACAACTGAAACATGCATTGGTCTGGAAGAATCGATTCATTTCCTAGAGGAGGTATTTAAGGAGCAAGGACCGTTTGATGGTATACTAGCCTTTAGTCAAGGTGCTTGTCTTCTATCCATTATTACAGCAAATGAAAGGCCCTCTCCAATAGCTTACAGATTTCTCATATTTGTTTCTGGTTTTAAATCACTTTTGTCAAGTCATTCACATACTTACCCTCCCTCAATCGGCGTCCCTTCCTTTCACATATTTGGCAAAACCGATGCCGTCATACCACAAGAAATGAGTCGAGATCTTTGCCAGCTGTACCCAAACTCCATTCAGTACACACACAAAGGAGGACACTATGTCCCAGCATCTCCAGATCTCCGAAACTCACTCAGAGATTTTCTAAGACCTTTTCTGGACTGACGAAAGATGGGTCCCCTAGCCCATCTCCATTCAAATACACACGAGCACACAACTTGCATCCCTGCTTGCACTCTCTCTATCTCTCTCTTGAACAGAACTCTTACTATAAACTGTATACTTTTGTATTTAACATTCAAAAGGTGGGTGCTATCTCCTTGGATTGAAATATGGTTTGGTTTTTGACAGAACTTGTTGATGTAAGAAAGAGCAAGGAATTACAAATTGAGTAGAAAAATCACATTTCATTTATAACATTTGGTTAAACATAAGAGAAGTTGGTGGTTCCTAGATCAACTTGTTAATTGCAATGGGCGAGAAGATCCTTTTATAGAAAAAGGTGCTTGTCTATAGTAGTGGTAGTAGTAGTAGGAAATTATAGTGCATGGTAGGATCTGCCAAAATAGCCTTTTCTTGATAATTATAACAAATAAGTGAAGTGTAGAAATCTCACACATTTGGGGATCAATAAATTGGAGCTCAATCCATGAGCGTTGGGGTGCCTGAGCGAGACCTGCTGTGGGTGGGTGAGAGAGAAGAGGGAGAGGAATAGAGAGAATCATAATTATATTGTCTTGCATGTAAGGGTGATGGAGTGAGGTAAAATATCAATATAATAATTCCTTTCCTTTGTGCGGACATCAGGGAGGGAGAGAGAGAGAGAGGCTGAATATTATTAACAACACATGATGTAATATTTTAACTTAAATCCTCCCCTAAAAACTCAACAAACCTCTCTTGAAGCGAGGGACTTCTGGAGACTCTAACTTGCCTTTCATCAGCCACACAGATGACCTCTCTTTCCGACCTTTTAGACGAATAATTGACCTTTCTCTCACCGTAAAACTGGTTCTGGACAGGTTGCTCTTGCTCTTCCGCCTGTGGGCTGTCTCCTTGTAGCTCCTCCAGCTGCAAGAACTGGCTCTCGAGAGGGAACACTTCAGAATCCTGCTGGTAGCCTTCTTCAACATCAACTTCGATCTCTTCATCTAATAAAGGGACAATAAAGGATTTTTATCTGTTTTCCTTAATCGTCAGTGGAGATTAATGTATAATTTCATATGGACGGTTACCTTGCTCAGTGAAATCATTTGCTATTGACGAGGTCTGTGGAGATTCAATGTTGCTGTGGTCATTCCCCTGGTACTCTTCTTTTGAAAACCTTTCTTCGTCCCTACTATCAATGGGAGGTTCTTGAGGCTCAGTCTCAGGAGGAAGAGAAGGTGGAGAATCCTCTGGTACATAATCATTAGCATCATTAGTCTCGTAAAACACAATCTCATTCGGATCAACCAACTGATTACTGTTAGCATTATGATAGTGTGGAGAGCGGCTCCTGTCCCTCCTTCTCCTCCCTCCTCCTCCTTTCCTTCCTCTACCGCCACCACGGGACTGCTGGCGTTTCCTAGGTTGGTTTGGGTTAGTCCATAAATCGATCTGCTTGGGTTTTCGTCTGGCTGGCATACCCTGCCTAGGTGGCATTCCCTGTCGCCTGTGATCTGAATGACGTCTGTTAGGACCAGATGAGCGCAGCCTGGGCTCGGAGGAGGGTACATGTTGATAGGCCTCTCTTTGATAGCTCTTACGGGGACTATGAATTGGAGGGGGAGGTGGCCTACGTTGCTCCCTATGCCGTAAGTCGTGTTCCCTCGTGTGATTATGAGGTAGAGGAGGAGGAGAAAGAGAATAGTGTCCAAGTCTCCTTCCACTATCTCTATGTCCATGAGAATAATTTGATGGTCTATGAGGAGGAGGGGGAGGGAGAGGAGGGGAAGAGAGTCTCCGCTCGCTACTGTGTTTATTAACATATCTATCTACAACATAGCCGCTGGTTTCCCTTCCTCTCTTGTGATGAAGATCTTCCCTTCTCTCTCTCACGTCGCCATAATGAGTGATCCTCTCCTCTCTCTTGTAAGGATCTCTATGAGCGTAGGAATTCCCATGCCCTCCTCTTTCAGGGTAGCCATGCATATCGTAATCAGAATGACTGGACGATTCATAACCTCTTAGAGAAGGAGGGGGAGATCGACGGTGAGAAGGGGGAGGAGATTTATGTCTTGAACGATGAGGAGGTGACAAAGGATAATGAGAATATTTAGGAGGGCCCGTCTCACGATAAACAGGACTCCTATGAGGAGGAGGAGGGCGAGAGGGAGGGGGACTACGACGAGGAGGATGTGGTGGCATCGGACGATGGGAATAAGGTGGGGGGCTACGTCCTCTAACTATGGGACTCTGGTTACTAAGACGACTGTTAAACTCTTTCTTGTCTTCCGTAGGAAGATACTCAACACGGACCCTCTCCCCACAGATAACACTCCCATTTGTCGACGACACGGCTTTCATTGCCTCTTTGGAATTTTTGAAAAAGACGTAAGCAAAACCCGGAGGATTCGTCGCCATCCATATGTTACGAATCTCACCAAAGCGACTGTACGTCCGAAAAAGCTCGTCTTTGTTACCATAGTTACCAAGGTCACGTACTATTACTCTAGGAACAGACACTAGAAGAAAGGATAGATATACATGTAATTTTAAAAGTGGGCGTTAATTAGAAGACGAGGTAGCATGCTTTTTGCTGTATTATAGAGAAAGGTAGCTAGGTAGGGTTTTGATGCTCACTTTGTATTGTCTTCTTTGTGTATATTCACATGTAAAGGAGAGTATTTCACTTCCAATCCAGCGTGCATAAAGAAGAAAGACTGCCTTTGTAGGTGTGGTTAGTTATAACCAGGCTGGTTTCGGTTAATTAAAAGAGGCTGTGCCCCTAAGAGGGCGTGGTTTTGTGTGTTTGCAAATTTGGGGAAGGCGAAATGTTTGGCTTTAGAAAGAAGGCCGAAGATCAGGAGTCCTTGGAGCCTTTCCAAGGGAAAAAGGAATGCTGTACGATAGGGTCCTTCATCAACTACATGATAATAATCAACTTCGCCGCCATGTTCCTAGCATGTGTCATTGTCATTGGTTCTCTTGGTACGCTACAGAGTGATTTAACCAGTGCCCATGGAGGGAACAGGAGCTGCTATATGTACGCTACTTTTAGTGGCAGTGTTGATGATGGAGACTGTGACAATAAGTTTAGTACAGTTGCAACTCATCCCTGCGATGGATCTATGGTCGCCTTCTCTTTTTTTGCTCTTTTTGCTGTTGCTTTTAGTATATCTCTCTTTATCAAGGGAATCCTACATCACGAGTTAGTCAATGTGCTTCTTTTTACATTATTTGAATCTATTGTCTGTGGAATGTTTTTATTAATTCCCACGCTAAATTGAAATTTATGTATAAAGACTTTGTATTTTATTTGTCCATTATATTGAATGTATGTATATACAAAAAATGGAATTCAATACACTTGTTTATTTTCATTTCTGTTCCGGTTGAACTAGCTTCCAATGTTTATGTTATACATGTATGTGTGTGTACTTGTATGTGCCTTGATGTTGACATAAATGCCACACAAGTTTGGCTTTTGATAGAGTAAATTCAGCTAGTATAGTAGTATACTGTCAAATTGATATATTTCCTCCATCAATTAAAAATGAAACTATCTTTTTGTAGCTTAAATTGGACGCTGTTCCTTGAAGTGCCTTCTTTAATCGTTTTCACAGCTGTTGTGTTTGCTATTTGTGTGATGATTAGTATTGGCAATGTAGCCACTTGTAACAGCATTAAGAATTATGACAAATGTGTCAATCATAATTCAGAGTAAGTAGAGAGAGGAGGAGGGAAGATGGTACGTTTGATTTTGCACTTTATTTACAGCTCTAGTGGCAAATACTGCAACATGACTTTTCCTAATTCGAATGCTGATCATTTTAAACATCAAACAAGAGCCAACCTAGCTCAGGTAAAGAGGCTTTATTGTAGCATGTTTATTATTACTATTACTATTATTATTTATTTATTTTTTGTAGAACACTGGCTGGTTTGTTTTTCTATTTATTGTCATTGCATTGGTTATTTATATTATCCGACTTATTGTCTATCTGAGAAGGAGAAAGAAGCAGAGCATACAGAGGGCACTGGAAAGGGAAGAGTTCCAGGAGACCCAGGAAGAACCAAAAGCTATTTAGTTTTTTTAAGTATACGAGGGCCATACCATATATGATGATTATTACAATGGCCATTTTGTAATTTTTTTTGCTTTTATTGTATTGATGCTATTATTATTATTATGGTTAAGTTATTAACTAATAGTTAGCATGCTCCGTATAACTCCGTTCACTCATGTCACGTGCTTCATCATGTTAAAGAGACCCAGACACACAGAGACAGAGGAGGACCTCCTCTCCCTTCAAGAGAGCTTCTTCTCCTCTAAGGAGCAATGCTCAACCAAAATAAGCAAAAGGGAGAGCCAGGAGGCCAGTAGAAACCCGCCTGAGAAGAGGAACATCATCTCTTTACCTAGTAGTGTAGCATTTATTATCATTAATTTATTTGTATTATAATGTATCCAGGTTCCATTCCTGCTGATATTAGTAATCATGAGAGTATGGAGTTTCATCAAGATATCCCTGGAGTGAGTTTTTGATGTCATTCTTTGTAGATTTCCCTTTAAATTTTTCAGGTTGTAGATGTACTTCAGCCAGTTAAAGGTATACTTTTAATTAATGAGTTAATAACCAAATAATTTTTAAAATATCAGATAGGGTACAGCAAGATCCAATGGAGCCAGTAATTCCAGCACCTCCTCCTGGCTATGGTTTTCCAAAGCCTCAAAAACTATCACATTTTGCAAAGAGAGTTAGCATGCTACGTGTGTATTTTAAATATTTTGACATCCAGGGAGGAGGAAGAAAAGGAGGTAAAAGTCTTTTTGCTCAGCAATTTGATTCTCAGAATGTCAGTCTGAGTACGCCTGAAGCCATGGAAGGAGAGGGAGGAGAGAGAGACAAGATTGAACCACTTGTAGCTCAAGTAAAAGAGAGACTGTTCATAAGTGATAAAAGTGAGTGACAATAATTATTGATAATCATCTTATGTCCTTAATGAATGAAGCTATTGTTGATACCAATTCTCATGCATTTGCTCAATCGAGACTGATAAGTGGGGATGGGCTAAGAGACGTGGGTGCAACCCCTCTTGAAGTTGAGAAGGAACTCTCCAGCATACACACTGAGAATACTCAAAGACTGGTGGCCATGACAGAGCAAGAGCTGATTGAGGAGAAAGGAAAGATGGAGAAACTTCTTGGCAAGTTAATGAAATAAAAAATTAATATTATAATCAAATTGTTTAGGTCCTCAACTTGTCGCATTCCTCCAGTCTCGTGCTAAGACCAAATTAACCAAAGCTCCTCCTCCTGTTGTACCTGTTCCTCAAACCAGTTTATCCAGTTTGGGTACCTCGTCTGACCAGTCTAAATGGCTTCATATGAATGTAGAAGAGAAAGAGAAGACAAGATGGATGGAGGATGTCAAAATAGACCCTAGCAAGATGCCAGAGGTAAATACAGCTGTGTACATACACATGTTTCAATACATGTAGTTTTATCGGGAGACAAGGTTTTCACTCAATGGTCTAATAATACCTCGAGATGTGGGCGTGGCTATTTCATCTGACAAGGCTCTTCATCATCACGGAGATGAACCGGAAGTTAGTCTAGTATTTTACTCCAATTTTATTATTTTTATTTTATTTTTATTATTAGTGTGCTGGTTACACCTTGGGAGAATTGAGTAGACTAGCTCTCAGTTCAGTTCACCAGCAGAGAATACTGGCACTTCAAGTCCTCTCATTCATTATGAAAAGAGTAAGAATCAGTATATTACTAACTAATGGTAAACTTAACTTTATTCTCCAGTCTGTTCACGGTGAATATAAAGGATTGATTGAGGGTCATCCCCTCTCTGTTCTAGTTGAGTCTGAAGTATTGACAATGTTTCGTTATACACTGGATGAGTCACCAGAGAGCTTACAGGTAACATAAGATTTTAGAAATTTTTTAAAAATCCAAACTTGATTGAAATTAGCTTAAATTTAATACATGTATATAACATAAGAACATGTATGTGTATCAGAAAAAATTATAAAAATGGAGAATTTTCTCCCAGTCATTTTTGGCGAAATTCGGCCAAAATCCCTGTACTATAGTACAGGGACTTTGGCCTGATTTTGGAGTAACTTGAAAGGTTTGTAAAAAATCCAATTTTGATTGAAATCAGCTCAAACTTGATACACAGCATAAGAACATGTATATGTATCAGAAAAAATTATAAAAATGGAGAATTTTTTTCTAGTCATTTTTGGCGAAATTCAGCCAAAATCCCTGTACTATAGTACAGGGACTTTGGCCCGATTTTGGAGTAACTTGAAAGGTTTGTAAAAAATCCAATTTTGATCGGAATCAGCTCAAACTTGATACACAGCATAAGAACATGTATATGTATCAGAAAAAATTATAAAAATGGAGAATTTTTTTCTAGTCATTTTTGGCGAAATTCAGCCAAAATCCCTGTACTATAGTACAGGGACTTTGGCCCGATTTTGGAGTAAGTTGAAAGGTTTGTAAAAAAATCCAATTTTGATCGGAATCAGCTCAAACTTGATACACAGCATAAGAACATGTATATGTATCAGAAAAAATTATAAAAATGGAAAATTCTCTCCTAGTCATTTTTGACAAAATACCCTATACACTGTCTATAACTAACCATTCAACTAAAACTTTTATAATTAAGTTACATTCTCTCTCTCTCCTTCAGTCGGTAGCTGTCTACGGTTTCCATTGTTTGTTGGTTTTACCAGCTCAAGATTATCTCCTCTCTTGGCATCATGGCTCCTCCATTGGTCATCTTCTCCCTTACCTCACTCCTCTCCAAAGAGAGAGAGATGAAGAGGAAGAGAGTGATCATGTCATCAAAGACGACATCGTCAAAGGATTGCTTAAGATGACACTGTTGCCACGGTTGCGATACATTTTAGAGGTGTGTCAGCCGCAGGAGGGCGTGGCAGTAAAGATATTAGAAATATTAATACGATTATCACAGCATTCATTACAAGCAGCTGATGAGGTATAGGGTATTAACTTTTTAATATTTAAATTTTATGTATTTTTAATTTTAGATTCTTCACTGTCCCAGACTAATAACTTTCATTTTTAATTCTTTCCTTCCCCTTAATCCAACCAATGGTATCCATTAGTTATTAATTATTAATTATTATTTATTTATTGTTAATTATTATCAGGTGGTGACTGCTTTTATAGTAAGCCACACCCACTGGCTATGAAACTAATGGCCAGTCTCTGCAGAGCAAGTCGACACATTGCAAAAGAATTAGCAAGTTTTTAAAAATTATTTTTAATTATTTAATATTTTTTCAGATTTCTACTCACAATCTCCTGCCAGTTATTCTCAATCACGTTCTCATTTTCCAAGACCACACCCCCTCTTTGACATCAGAGGCTTGCAGGGTGTGGTCTGTGTTGCTAGGATACAGTCTAACAGTCGAAACTGTCAGGTGAGGAATAAAAAGATTTTTATTTTGTAATTTTTTTTTCTAGTGACACACTACCAAGTCTTTTAAATATCTTTTCAAGTCCATCTCCATTCTTATTGCCTTCAGATAAACTAGAGCGAGTCTCTTCTTTATATCTCCTCCTTTCCTCTGCCCTTGCTGCCATTGTTACGATACCCTCGTATACTTCTCCTTCATTTCATGTCGTTGATCACGCTCTCAAAGCCTTGACGAGAGTTTTAAGAGAATGCAGAGATTCCGATAAGGATATCAGCGTATGTGATGATGTCATATGATGTCATGTGATGTCATTTTTAGTTGGATATTGTCCAGTACATTACATCTTTATTGAGCATTCCCTGTGTTTATTACAGAGCCTTCAGTCAGAGGGTGAGTCTATTTTTAGACTGTTGTTAAATTTTGTTACTATTTTTAGCCTGAGTTAAGAGTGAATCCAGTTTCATTGCTAGAGGAAGTTGAGTCAGTGGTAAATGGAGTGATGAAGTTATTGTTGTCATCAAAACTGTATTCTTTCATCACTAAGACTCTTCTGTATGTATCAGTTTAAATAATTGTGCGTTAACTCTCTCTCTCTTAAGTTCCCTTCTAGAAGTACTGGATTCTCTATCATCATTCTCATACTTACCATCTTTCATATCATCTTCACTCTCTTCCAAACCAGCCATTTACAATAAAGACGCAATGGAAGAGAAGGATTATCCCCTTCTGAGTCACAACCAGTCTGTTGCTCTTGTTTTTAGTGATCTTCTCTCCCTCTCACAGCAGCTCTGTTTGTCACTGTGTCAGCTCCATCATGGAGTAGCCATTGATATTTGTCAGCTTGTGTTGAGTAGTGGGAGCCATTGGATTCAATTGATGGAGAAATTTGTTAATACAAGCATAACAAATGTTAGTTGTGTATTGTAAATTAGTTTAAGCAATAAAACTTTCTTTCTGTTTATAGTCATCTTTGCCTTATCTTCATGTATATCAGTGTCTCTTCTCAACTGTTAAATTATTACTTTTAGAGCCAGTAAGAAAGTAAATTGTTACTATTATTTTGACATTATCCTTGTCTTCTATAGAGTGCATTGGATGCATCTCAACTATGCTTGCTTCACTGTGTCTCGCTCTCTCTATTGACCTATTCACCTCTTGGCTATGAATCGCATGCCATAGATCTCTTGAAATCAATCATATTTAATCCATTCCTTTACATGTAACCTTATTACATATATCCCAGTACATATATTTAATTTTTTCTTTTTATAGAGACGGACAAAAGGATGTGACTCCTCCCTTAAGTAATACCATCTCATTTGAGTCTATTTCCCCTCATCTCCCATCTGTTAATGATATGTATGTGAAGCTCTGTAGTTCATTCATCAGTGAGAAAGACGTGGTCCGTTCCTCTTGTGTCATGAATGGAGATATGTCTCAAGTGGATACGCAGTGTCTCCCCAGTCAGACAAAATTTGTATTACCGTCTAATTGGCTCCACCTGCCCCTCCTTGCTAAGATCGATGAAAAGTAAGGCATCTCTTGTGATGATTGTATTTTTATTATTAATTTTTTTCAGTCAAACGGATGGTGATCTTGTCACATCTCATGTGTCACATTGCTTGTATTTTATATTATTTCTTGAGACTCAACGCAGTCAGTTTATGCAGCAGACCAGCTGTTCTGAGAGATTGATAAGAGTAATGTCAACTTTCTTAATAAGTAAGCCAATATTTGTGTATCCCTTTTTCCCTATCTCTTTCTCTTTTTAGGTTCTGATATTTTCTTTGAGCCAGTAATCAGTTCCTCTCTCTCTTCTCTCTTTTCTTGTTATTCTAACCCAAACTTTTTTCGTTTTGTTGATTTTTCTCTCAGTCCTTCATTTCAAGAATTGTAAGAGCATCTTTTTTTATCATCGTATTAACCTTTCTTCTTATTTTAGTCATACTAACTTGCTTGATCATTTTGCTGCTGTCTCATACGGACACCAAACCTTTTCTACTTTCCTCCTCTTTCCATTGCAGCAAAGACACTCTGTCTCTTTCCGTAAAGACTTTTGGATTGACCACACGCATATTCTCAGATTAATCACTCTTGCCCCTTCTCAAGTATAATTAGCTCTATTTTGTCATTTATTTACTTACTTAATGTTATGATAGTTCTCATTACCACTGGACTCATTCCTGTACCCAATAGAATGGGAATCAGACTTGTTGAACCAATATCTCAGAGTATTGGCATCAGAAGTCATCAAGTATGCATGATAATAGTTAAAAATGCAACAATACAATCGAATATTTTTATTATTATTGTGTTTATTAGCGAGCAACGTAACCCTCTTTTATTTGGCATTGCTGCTCATCATGTCTCTTCTGCTATTAATTCTACAAAGGAGAGATCACAGGATTACACTGGTAGTAGTGAGACATGCAAGAGGTTAGCTTCTGCTGTGGAAAGACTTCCAAATCAAGTAAGGAATGCTTAGCATTGTTGTAGCATTGCAATTTCTTTTAGCTATTGAGAAGACGTTTACTTTCTTTGTGATGTAGTGGTATGGATCATCATTACTAGATAAATTTATTTTATCATTCAATGAAAATGGAAAACTATATCTAATCTAACTAAAATGTTGTCACTGAGTTACTAATTAATGTGGCATGTATCAATAGTAATTAAAATTGATATATCAATGATTCTCTTCTGTTCACAATGTCTGCAGGAGAATACATCTCTTCTTCGTTTAAGCTGTCTTGATATGCAAGGACCTTGTGGTTGTTTTTATTGCTGCAATGTGTAGAGCTGCAGCTATTGGCCTTTTTTGTTTTCATGATGATATGAGCTATTACGGTAGCAATGAATGCAAGCAGTGACAGGCTGATTGATCCTGCTGTGATCACACTTGTTACATAATAACTAAATTCCATGTGATCCGATAGACTGTTCAATAAGCTCAATAAACCCAAATTGAAGAGATAAAGATACTCGAGTAGATTAATTCCCTTTCTCCTATACACACCTCTTGAAAAGATCAATAAGATGAAGGCGACAAGTGCAACGATATAACTATTAATCTGCGGCACAGTTCCAGTGCTGTATGAGAATATGGCAGTCAGTAGTAGGCGTACTAGCAGAAGGAGTCCTGTCCAATATCTATACTTGTCGGTATAAGGGCCTGTGTAAGAATCAATGAATGGCTTGAGCCTATAGAAAGGATCCCATGAACTGTGACAATGCTTTCCACAGAACTTAGTCATCCACTGGCTGGAGAATATGCTCATGGTGTAAACTAATCCAATGAGCATCACAATCAATGAGAATATAAACAATGGTAGATGGATAGGGCTGAGGTATCCAATGGTACCATCAATGCTCCACACATACCATTGTTTGTCTCCGCATTTAAGGATTGCTAGCATAAGAACATTCCTTATGGCCAGCAATAGCTTGGAGTGAGCCATGAAGATAAGAGTGGAGAGGACAGCCACTACGTTTCTTCCAAACATGTGGGATAGTTTTGAAGAGAATTTGCAGCATGCTATGATAGCAGCAATGAGCATTAGGGAGAATCCAAACTGTAGCCAGGTTTTCCAGTATCCATCTAAACCATTGAAAAAGCAAGTCTGGATGCCAAGATCAAGATTAAGCCATGCAATGAACTGGCTCAGGACTGGAATACTGGAGCCATTAGGAAGCAAAGCGGCTTCATTTAACTTGATTATATTAGCATAGAAGAGTAATCCATTTATACTACCCACAGACACAGTCAAATTACAAACTAGAAGAAAAACTACCAGAGCTAAGCCACCCAGAATAAAAGGAATTAAAAGAGATAAATATTTGTTATCACAAGACTGGCAATGGTTGGAGCCTAACATTAGACTAAGACCTGGTTTGCATTTTCCACAAAGAGTGCCTGACCTACCATTAGTACATTGAAGATCAGGATGAGTGAGATTAAGATAGACTGTAGAGGTATTACAATAATCAAAAGGACAGTTCCCATGAGCCATTGTACAATTGTACTCGTTGTGATGGCTCAACCAGTTATTCCCTGATCGTTTTATAGGATGAGGGAGCCAGTCAATGCTGCATTGAGTGCCCTTAATGTTCTCAATAGCACTATTACACTGACAGGTGTCTGATGAAAGCACAAGGCCATGTGGACACATAAGAAATGTGATGTTTATTTTTAAGTCACTCCCAGCAAAAATATCTTCTCCAGAATAGGCTTTGTGTCTTAAAGAGATTTCTCCTCCTTTACTATTGTGATTTGGTTGAATTTTGTATGTAAATTTTTTACACAATTTCCCATTGGTCTGTTGATTAGTATCACCCAACGAAACATCAATGTCACTAGATCCGCTAGTGACTAGCTCTCCAAGACTAATGCCCCCACATACTCCAACAGTAGCTAATAGTAGACTCACAGATTGACCAGGATAGATCACTCTATTGATTATTCTATTGCTGCAGTTTGTTGTGCTTTCATTGCTACACATGCAAACAATGACTGGGTCTGTTGTTATATGGGAAGAAAATGATGTTAATAAAGATATATCATCACATTTTAGGTTAAATCGCCTTTGATAGGATATCACAATCAATGGGATCTCATCCAAAGGGGGATAGTAAGTACAATCCCAGTACAATCCTCCATAGATGTCATTGCCACTGATTCCTCCAAAATTATTCTGAAAGTATGACTCATTACTGCTATAATAGAAATTAGAAATAGTACAATTTGCTGCCAGTGGATATGGTGGTGAAATTCTATTGTGTGCAATATATATGGCACCACCATACCCTTTAGCTGTGTTATTAATAAATTTTACTGGAGTGTAAAGTGTAATTCTAGCATTTTCATTAATCCACATTCCTCCTCCATTAGCTGGTGAATAATTATTAGCTATTGTACTTGGGTGACCAGCAAACACTAGCTCTGTATTACTACTAGCATATAGTCCAGAGTTGTTGTTATTGCTGATTGTGCAATTATCAATGAAAACTTTCCTTTGAACATTATAGAGTTCCAATCCACTACGATGGTTCTGTGATATGTAAACACGAGTTAAATTAATGCTTCCTTCTCTGTTGCAATTTGATATGTACAATCCAATATGGGTGGTACTGATCACAGAGACATCAAATAAGTTAACTTCATGGCCACATTTATCAATTTGTAAGCCACCGGATGTGTCTGTAATCGATACTCTTGAGAGGGACAATGTTCCAACACTAGTTAAACTTAATTGGCCTACATTAACCAGTTTGATGTCAGTGAAACTCACATTGCCATTATAAGTAACTCCAATTTGAGCCTCGTAAGAATATCTTGCAGCCTCCATGCTGTTGTCTATTGTAGCATTGTTAAATTCTATACTTGTAGCTGCTGGGCATGAAGCAGTGGCCCGAATATTTAATCCTTTTGAGCATGTCATGCGACTGTTCATGACTTTGATCTCCAAACAGAAATCAGCAACAAGCCATAAGCAATTTCCATTGACTGTCGAAATGAGGGTCTCATTTATGACAATAACAGCAGTTCTACTGTCCAAATAAATGCTCGATCTGGATATCCCATCTCCTAAACCATAATCCACTATGAATTGAGACTGAAGAATGGTCAAGTAATACCCTTGTTTGATATTTAGCAATTGTGCCGACGTTTGTGAAATGATTCCATATGAGATATCCCGAAGATGTATGTGACTGTACTCAATATGATTGAAATTAAGATTATCAATAGATAGCGAAAAAACATCAGTGATGAATACATATTTGCACTTTATTGTTGCTAATCGATTACTATAATTTGCTGATTGTGAGGCTCCTCTCAATATTACAGGGCTCATTCCTTTTATTGAAAAGGATCCTTCAAGCATGTGTTCATCTGGTAAGAAAATCAGTGTGATGCTGTCAATTGCCCAGTCAGACACATTGGTGTAGTATTGAATGGAATGACATTGTGTGTGAAGTGGGCAATCATTACCAGTAGCTGTCACATAGTAAACTGCATCTTCTTCACTCTCTTGACAATAAGCAACAGCCAAGGCTAAAAGAACAACAATTATAATCTATAGAAAATGGAAGAGTTAGTACACAAATGGGTATAAATTAAAATGCAGGAGCTCACCTTTGCTGTAAATTTTTCCATTGGTTTGACCTGCTGAAATGAGATCCATACAAGTAATGATAAGCTACAATGTATACGTGCAGTATATATGCATGTGTTATATGCATGATTCACACACCAATTAGGCAACCACAAACGACTTAAACTAATAAATAATCATGGAACTAGGGCATCAACTTGTGGTTTAGTCTATTTTATTCTTGGCACTTAAGTGTCACTTTTATAATTTCTGTGTGCAGTATTTCTAATGCTGCTATTGAGGAAATACAAGCGTATAACACTCTTGGTAAATACTATAAACTACACTAGGATTTGTCTTTTGACTACTATTGTGCTTGTCACTTTTGTGTATAACAAGAAGTCTAGGGCAAAAATTGTCTCTTTGCAGTAATTTTTAAAGTTAATCAGAATTAAAAATAAAAATATGAACATCAACTATGATCAAATTTCTTTTTCAAGCGTTCAAAGATATCAGCCTCGCGATCTTCCAGTTTAATTTCATCCCTGATGCTAGACGATCGCTTGCGATCATCAGGCGAAAAACTTGATGCGATCAGTGATTCGGGTTTGCCTGATATCCAGGTGATTCCAAAGGATTCCTTTAAATCTTTGATTGCTCTCATCTGTGTAAGAACATTTGGTTATCATACAATTTTAGTATAACATTCATCTTAAAATTCCTCCTTTGCAACTTCACTTTCTCTTTCTTTTCATTTCAACTTACAGCACTGGCTGCCTCTGTAAATGAAACAACTGCCTTCCTCTTCTTTTTTGATGGCACAATCATGCACTGTCCATACTAAAAGAAACATGTAATTGTATTATTATAAGACTGATAAACAGAAACACTCAAGATATGTACCTTACTAAAAACAGCATCAAGTTCTCCTGCAGAAAAAGGACCTTGATCTTCATTCCATTCGATTTGAATTACAGCCTCATCTGTGATAAACATAATCATTAAAAAGTGTGCTTGTTTGTACCAGTGCTCTCTGGTTTTGTTGTGTCCTTGAGCAGTTCTTCTTGTCGCAGTATCAATTTGTAACCGTCTTCTCTTAGACGCTCAATCTTTGAGTAAATGAGGACAGGAGTGAAGTAAATAAATTAATACATACCTCCTTTTGTATTTGTTTCTTGGCCTCAAATTCAGCTGCTACAGTATCGTAATGCTCATTCTCTTTACGTTCCAAACCTAAAAGAGAGAGAGAAGAGTGATGCACTCAAAAATACTCAATTACTTTCTTTCATTTTCCGTCTCTTGGCACTCAGCTCTTCGTTTCGTTTCTGATTTTGTGCTTTAGCTTTGAGCCACTTGTCATATGCTGCCTAATAAAAATAAAATAGCAATTAAAAGTATAAAGAGTAATACTAATCCTATTTTTACTCTTGCTGCAGGATCACTAAGTACACTGTAGATACGTGAAAGCTTCTGAAACATATCAGCTATAATAAATAAATAAATAAATAATTATGTACATGCATACCAGCTGAAGGATTATCTGGGTTTTTGTCGGGATGATATCGTAGAGCCTTTTTACGATAACCACTGGTAATCTATCAATGAATGTAAAACAGGATATTGTATCTAATTAATTTCCTTACTTCTTTATTTGAGGCATCGCTTGGTACTTCTAAAAACCCGTAAAGATCCTCAACACCTAATTCCTTCACCAAAACATCCGCCATTTTGTACAGCCACACCTTCTGCAGAACCATGCCACGTGGTAGCACGTGGGTTAAGCAATAACCACACCCTTGACCACACCTACGTGCAACATGGAAGGGCATGGGGTTCAGACAGATCTTCAAGCAAAAGACAGTTTTGATGGTAAATACATACCAGGAACAGCCAGTCTTATAGCAGAAGTCGACAGTAAGTTGTAAAGTGCTACTTTATACTTAAAATGTTTGAAATGAAATTATAAAAATAATAAAAATTATGATTTTAAATTATTATAGAGCGTATATTGGTTGTATTAAGAGGAGGGAGGACATTGATAGGATACCTCAGAAGTATTGATCAATTTGGTATGTTTCAGTTTTGTAGTAGTGTTTATCAATGACATGTATACACACCATGGTGAATTTTGGAGAAACTTTAAAAATTTGTAAAAAAATTCAATTTTGATGAGAATCAGCTCAAAATTAAAAATTAACATGAGACACATGTATATGTATTATAAAATTTTATAAAAATGGAAAATTTTCTCCTAGTCATTTTTGGCGAAATTTGGCTAAACACCCTGTACTATAGTACAGGGACTTTGGCCCGGTTTTTGAGTAACTTTAAAAATTTGTAAAAAATTCAAATTTGATCGGAATCAGTTCAAACTTGCTACACAACATAAGAACATGTATATGCATCAGAAAACATTACAAAAATGGAGAATTTTCTCCTAGTCATTTTTGGTGAAATTTGGCCAAAGACCCTGTACTATATACAAGGACTTTGGCCCGGTTTTTGAGTAACTTAAAAAATTTGTAAAAAATCCATTTTTGATCGGAATCAGCTCAAACTTGCTACACAACATAAGAACATGTATATGCATCAGGAAACATTATAAAAATGGAGAATTTTCTCCTAGCCATTTTTGGCGAAATTTGGCTAAACACCCTGTACTATAGTACAGGGACTTTGGCCCGGTTTTTGAGTAACTTTAAAAATTTGTAAAAAATCCAAATTTGATCGGAATCAGTTCAAACTTGCTACACAATATAAGAACATGCATATGCATCAGAAAACATTACAAAAATGGAGAATTTTTTCCTAGTCATTTTTGGTGAAATTTGGCCAAAGACCCTGTACTATAGTACAGGGACTTTGGCCCAGTTTTTGAGTAACTTAAAAAATTTGTAAAAAATCCATTTTTGATTGGAATCAGCTCAAACTTGCTACACAACATAAGAACATGTATATGCATCAGAAAACATTATAAAAATGGAGAATTTTCTCCTAGTCATTTTTGGTGAAATTTGGCCAAAGACCCTGTACTATAGTACAGGGACTTTGGCTCGGTTTTTGAATAACTTTAAAAATTTATAAAAAAATCCATTTTTGATCAGAATCAGCTCAAACTTGCTACACAACATAAGAACATGTATATGTACATGTTCGTATCAGAAAAAAATATACGAATTCTCTTGGAGTCATTTTTAATGGACTAAACATTGTTATTGCTGTTTCAATTGCTTATTGTTACTTTGTAGCGAATCTGTTGTTACAAGACACTGTTGAGCGCATTCATGTCGGAAAGAAATACGGAGACATACCTAGAGGAATATTTCTAGTCAGAGGAGAAAACATGGTCCTCTGCGGAGAAATAGTGAGCCTACCCTAGACTAGAGAGAGAGAGAGAGAGGAAGGACAAGAGGATCATTCTTTACTCTCTTTCTCAAGGAGAAATCACTTGAAGAAAGCATGGAACTGGAGAAGGTCTCGATTGAGGAGATTATTGAGGCACAGAGACAAGAAAACGAGAAGAGGGAGAAAGAGAAGAAGAGAAAAGAGGAGCTATTACGACAGAAGGGACTTCCCGTCGTGAGAGATGAATCTGAAGATATTCTGTCATGAATTTATAAATAAGTGTAGCAAGCACATGCCCACTCATTATTATTATTACTTCCAATATGTGTGACATTCAAAATAATAAATATTGACACTAATATTTCAATAACATTTTGAGGATGAATATTTAGACTGATATTTGATTTATTTCCACTGAGGTATTCGGATATTTTGTCTAAACTCTGATAAGAGTGTTATTCTATAGAGCACCCACCACATGAATATAGTCACCTCTAATCAGTACATGTACATGTGTACATGTATTTTCTCATGTATACAGCATATACCATATTACCTTTTTTGCTTAAGCGTCTTGGCATTAGATTCATTACAAATCTACATAAATGCATTGGTTTACAAGTATTGACTAATCACAGATACACAAATATATACACATGGACCCTTTTTGTTAAAGTGTCATTAATCACAGCTGTACATAAATCTAATTGATTCATGTACGCGTACATATACATCCACTGTACATTGTTTAATCACAAGTCTATAATTGCATTCGTTTACATGTATGTACATATTATTGACACATGTATGCGTTTTACTACCATTTGTATTTAGGTGTCAGCCCTAATAGCATAATCTGCCCATACATGCATTGCTGTAAGGCTAATTTATACACGTACATGTGGATATCAATTTTACACTCTCTTAACACGCATTCCTTGTATTAATTTGTTCTTCATGTATATATACATACCAGAAGCATGTTTGTGGTGTGTAGGGGCTACACGCCTTTTATTCTTTTCTGCCGAGTTCTGTTTCACGATGGTATATGCAGTGAATGATAATAATAGTAATATTAATAATACAACTGTCATTTTCTTTAAAAAACATCAGAGCTATCTTGTTATGGTATACTTTACATAAAGAATCTCATACAGTTAATGTTGTTTGTGCGTGTGTATTGTTATTGATGATATGTGTCACCTGACAATGATTGTTAATACAATGAGAGAGAGAGAGAGAGAGGAAAACAGAAAAACAGTAATAGTAGAGTGTGATTATAGTGAATGATCATAGACTTATATATATAGTACAGTAATACAGTAACAATAATTATGTATCATAAAGTGAAGTATTGGAGTGTTGATAAACCAGTCAGTTGGAATGTGATTGCTTGTCCAGTAGTCATTCCTCATAGAACTACAGAGATGTGCTTGTTGCCTATTTTGTGTTCAATGTGTCTGAAATCTGTCGGCTCTCCGATTTCTATCTTATTTAAGTGGCCCATGCTTTGCGATCTCTTGGGTTTAGGTGATGACGAGGGTCTATAAAGAGAAGAAGGAAATGCTAAATGATCATCAATGAGTTCCTATGGTCACTTACGTTATGTCTTTGCTTGTTGCTCTCTTGAGTACCTTCAAAGCAGCCGAGAAACTAGTTTTCTTTTTTAGCTTGGTCTTAGTTTTTTCAGAGGAAGGAGCAGAGACTGAGGAACTGGAGGTCATTGGAGCAGAAGGAGGAGGAGGAGGAGGAGGCTGGTGGTGTTTATTGTCGTCCCTGTACCCACTATCAGTGCTGTTCAAGGATTGTAATGGTTTAAGTGTTGAGACATTCCCGTACGAGCTAAGGGCAGGCGCAGTGGGGTATGTGTGTTTGAGTGTGCCAGAGTCATCTTGACCGTAACTATAATCACCTGCTATTGAATCGAATCCTAATAATAAAGAGAGAGAGAGAGGAGTTTTTGAAGGAATGAGAGGGTGAGGGAGGGAATGATAATTGATTGAATTGTGAAAGTATGTATTTTGTACACCTGCAACTAAACTAAAGGCTATTGCATTACATGTGGCTGCATGTAAGGTGTACCATTCGTCCTCAAGAATTTGTGACTCAAATTTCTTCTGCGTGTAGCACACATAAGGGCATTGATATGTATCAGAAAATAGTTTAGCCTTTATTAGTCAGTAAACAAATTTTGCATGCGTTGCTCATAGCTTGTAAATTTATTAGCTTATGTCGCATAAGGATACTAGTATTTATCTTATTTTATCATTAGTTACCTGATGTGCTTGAGTTTGATGAATATATCGATGCTCTTTGAGTGTTTAGAATCATATTCCTTGGTGCTTCCTCTCTCTCCTCCTCTCCCTCTCTTGCTTCCTCCTCTTCTATCGAGTCGTCGTGACTGATGAGAGACGGTGAATGGGACATCAGTGTCTTATTTGATGACGTGGGTTGTTCCTCTAGCACTTTATCATCAGACCCAAGCAAGAGTACATCAGAGAAGCTAATGGCTCTATTTAGGTAGCTATTATTGACTTTATTCTCATCCTTATGTTTATCCTATAAAGAAAAGGAACAGCATGATGAAAGTAATGAATGACATTCTCAGTACATGTAGGATACATGCTTAGATAACACTGTAGCAGTAGAATTTATTATTACCCTGTGTCATTATTAATAACATATTGGTAGTTAGTTAGTTATTGTGTATACATGTCAGTGTAGATATCTATTTGCAACCTACTCCTACATGTACACTTGCTGTTCTACTGTGTAATACTATCATATCAGTTAAAATAACAGAGACAGAGTGACTCTCTGTTGCCTCTTCTGATATTCCTAACAGCTTATTCAATTCTTATGTCACTCACTGCCCACCTAATATCTAGGAGATACTACGCATTTGACTCAAGAATGAGAAGCTTAATTTCCTGGTGTGTATTTTCCGTGAACACGTAAATTAATGACGTATAGTAACTTATTGCTTTCTGATATAGCACACGCTCTGTGTGTAATAATTGTAATTGTATATGGGAAAGTAAAGTGGGGGGGGGAGAGAGTGAGAATAATAGGCAATAGATGTACATATGCATAATGTGTGAATATGCATGCATGTATGTACATATTGTAATGTGAAGTGTGAGAGTGTAGTAATAATGATGAGGTAGTGGTACATTGATATAATGGCAGAGTACAATATGTACGTGGGAAAGGGATACGTAGGGGGAGAGAGTGATAGGGTAGAGTGTAGTAGTGTGACAATGGAGTTGTGTTTGAAGACAAGTGATTGGTGTTATTTTTTGTATGACTACCATCTGTCAATAACAGAGAAAGGGAGAAGAGAGAGAGGGGGGAGGAGGGTAGGTGGGTTTGCTGACATGCATTGAATAATGTCGTGTATTCTAGTAAACAATTGGATTAGTAATTTGATAGATGTGTTGACACAATCTCTCCCCCTTTAACACTTAGGAAGTCTGACAGTAAGTCTGTGTTGTGTGTGTGTTCAAATGAAGTAATAATCACTGTATATACTCGTTATGATGGATGAGTAGAGCAACGAAGACACTCCAGCTGTCAGTATTGTCACTCTAATTGACCTTCAGTTACTTTTAAGGACATATGCTTTATATTACATCCGAATAATCTTGTACTACATTACATCAGTACATCTAATCGTTTGTACATGTACATGCACACGAAGTCATCTTTGTTGTTATTCTCTCTTACTTTCTCTTCTAGAAGATTTGCTACGGAGCGAGCAAGATGGCTGCTTTTCCCTAGAACGGAGTTCCCTCTTGACTGGTATACCCTCTCCTGTAGAGGAGGCGAGTGAGAGGGAGACGTGAGGTCATCGATGTTTGTCTGGGAGAAGTGACGTCGGATTTTCTCAGTGAAACGGAGCGAGTGGTAGCGTCTTGGTGGCTTTCTTTTTGTCTTCTTGTTACCTCTAAACAAAGAGAGAGAGAGGGGGAAGGATGAACATTACAAATTAAAGTAATAATGATGCAATTTGAATAGATATACTACTTACCTTTTGCCTCTATTGTCATCTTTTCTTATTGAACTTGCTAGCTGACAAACTTGTATTGAATGGTCTAGTAGTACTAGGTTTGAGTGAAGTGCATTCAGTGCTGACTCAATATAATAGCAGTCAGGATGATCCTGTGAGGTGTGCTTCAATAAGGACTAGAGAGAGAGAGAGAGAGAGGGGAAGAGAAGAGAGAGAGATAAGCTTTTGTGTGGTGCTGAGAAAACACATCCTAAACACAATTAAAGCATTGATGTTACAATATCAACAAGTGATTAATCAGGGGGCGGCTAAGAAAAGTACCACTTTACATGTGAACAAAAGTACTGTTTTAAATAAGTATACATGAGACAAGCATTCTCTATCTAAGCTAGTATCATGTATTATAAGTTCCTGTCACATGTGCATTCACATACAGTTGAACGGGTTGGAGTTCATCCACTGATGCAACGGTTGGGAGGATTAGTGTAAACAAAAATGGGTGGAAGTGTAATTGTGTGTGTCTATTGCTTTGTTGAGTGTACATGTAAGTGTATATAAAGCTCAGGGTTTATTTATACACTGCAGGTATGGCTCCAGGAGCCTGATCATGCACATCAATGATAAACAATGAGTAGGAGAGCAAGTAAGGAAAGAGTTATACCTTCAATAGCAGCTCATAGCGTGGTAGCCTCTGGATTGGGGTGAGGAGAAATGATGCCAAGCTTAGACCCTCACATTCAGGCCTCTGACTGCAATCCTGTTAAGATGAAAAGAAATAGCAGTAATTAGTCAGGTTTGCATGCTTCAAAATTTGCAGTCATTATTTCATATTATATAAGAGGACAATGTAGGATACTTGTCTTGTTGTGCCATGTAAATCAAAACAGAAGCTCTATATACACTCCGAGACTGATAGACGTCTGATTACATGTACGTGTACTATTACACTTTATGCACTGGATGGCTCATGTTTCTCCCCCTTCTATCCTTTGCACTCTTATCCTCCCACTCAGCCATATTTAGAGGTACATGTCATCTAAGCATATTATGTTTCACTCCCTCCTCCCTCTCCCTCTCTCTCCTGATAACTTACGCTAATTGTCTTGCAAAAGAGTTGCGAAGTTTTTTCGTAGTGCACCAAAGTCTGGAGTGCAATTTTGAACTCATTCATGTATGCACTGTATAGAGCCACAAACTCTCCCTACAATGACAAAAGAGGTGTTAGTAAAGATTGTGATGACGTAGTATAATTATTTACCCAATCATGAAATAATAGCTAGCCAACAATCTACAAATTCGCATGCTACTTATAACATATCCACTATGAGGCTGAATGATACCACACACATGCAAGGATGGAAGGATATTAAAAAAGTGCCACACACATGCCCAGACACATAAAAGTGAATGGCTATAGTAATGGCTATAGCTTATAAGGCAGGAAGTGTTGTATGTAGGTATTATTGCGTGTCATCATGTATGGGCAATTTCAATTGTTGTATAAACAAACTTTGTTGGCTTGACAACCCAAAAGATAGGCACATTAAGAGATCAGTCTAGCCTGAAATAGGGCAAGCAAGCACACACACACACACATACACACAAAGTCCCTTTTGCTGTCCTTTCTCTCTATTTTACACTTTTAAAATCAGTCTTCAGTTCATCAAACTCATTTCCTTTAAACTTGCCTTATTTTAAATCTACATGGGCATTGAATTGCCTGTAATGGGTCACTGGTGCCTCAAGTATGTATTCAAACTACCTTAATTGCTAAGAATTTAACTATGTTGTGACTGACTATGTGTGTGCAAATTTACTTTAGAGGACAGGCCAAGAGTATATACATAAGAATGCAAGGAATGTTTGGTTTGTGACCAACATAATTCGATCAATCAGTTTTAATGTACAAATGCACTTGCATGTAGAGTAGATTGTAGACAGATCAAAGAGGGACATGACATATTGAAGGAAAGAGAGAGATAGAGGGAGAGAGAGAAGAAACTGAGAAAGAGATGATTCAAAAGGCCAGGGCAGGAAATAAAAGGCTATGCCTCATTGAGAAGTAGCTTTGAATTTTTCCTTGTATAATAATCAATTATTACTCAATAATGTCCATTTAAGACTAACACTGTTTAGGCTATTATTGAATTTCCTTTCCAGCAATGAGAAAGGCAAATGTGCCTGAAGCAGGGGAGAGTTTATGATGAGGTAACATGAACACTGACAGTTTCACTAATTAAAGGTAAGTAGGTATAATATCAAGTCATGCACAGTTCTTCCTTCCTCTCACGTACTCCTCCTCTCTCTCCTTTCCAATTGAAGGAAACATGGTCACTAAGTAAACAGCCAAACACAATTACAATGGCTATCAATACGAGCAAGGACGTGTAACTATGTATACAATACTAGCATTTCCCTCTTATATACCTCTTGATCTGTGCAGATGCGTCCAAAAACATCCCCTACGACTCCCTGCCATCTTGAGGATGCCTCGATCCTCTCTGTTAGCCGAGAGAGGAGGTCCCGATGAAGCAGTATGAGTGGTTCCAATTGACATGGGAACAAGAGGCGGAGGTCACGCGGTGCTATGATCTTCTCAACGCTTGAGAGAAAAACCGAGAGAATGAGCTCGAGTGATGCAACGTAGCGACGCTCCGTTTGGAGGAGCTCGTTGAGTACCCAAGTCCTTTGATCTATAAAAGACACATACATAAATGCTAACATTAATAAGTGTTTGTATACCCTACCTTCTCTTAGTGATTCAGTGCTTGATGATGAGGCATTGTGCATCTTGCCCAATATTGAAATGTTTCCTTCTTCACTGTGAGAAGACTCGGCTATAAAAATAAAATTAAATGCAAGAGTAATAACAATGATGGATGATGATGCATGGATTATATCACATTGTAGTATGGATAAAAAGTGTGTGTTTGTGTAGATAGCAAGAAAGGGCCAGTGCATGTGTGGTTAAGGATAGGCTATGATTTTGATTGATTCAAGGGAATGAGACGTGACTTCATATATTCATAGTCTATTCATAACTCAATCAGTCTCAGCTGAGGGCATCAATGAATAAACAATAAGTCGTCAATTATGGTCGCTATTGACTCTGTGTGTGTCAAATTAGTTTATATCCTAGTGTGCAGTGTGAATCATCCTTACTGTTCTTGTAGTCTTCTTGTCGTGATTCCTCAAAATCGTCAAATTGAAAGACAGAGACAGAGCGACGATTAGTTGAAGGAGAATGGAGTAGCTCACCAACCTGAGGCAAAAGAAAGAAGAAATGAATTTCATTGTCTTTTATAAATTAGAAACAGACTGCCATGGTGGTCTGTCATGTGTATTACCCATCCACCAGCAAGTCCCTTGCAACTGTATATATACTGAAGTTACAAGCTATGACACACTTAGGTAAATATCCCCTCTGTTTGCCCACACTCATTCAAAGAGAAAGTGTTATAGTTTGTATTTAAGTTCAATAGTACAGGTCACTTGATACATATTCTCAACTTTCATTGATTCAACTAAAAGCAATATTGACTTACAATCTGAATGTGACACCAAGCAGAATCTTGAATCCTTATTCCAATCACTTGTTGGGTAGACTATAACTCTCTGCTCTCTTTCTCTCTCACTCTTTTCTCTAGGCTTCACTTTTAGCAATTTTAAATAGAACAGTGTTTAAGTACAACACCGCTAACTACTGGTCATGTCCCCCTATACAGGGCCTCACAATAAAACAGGCCTGTATCACCAATTGTCCAGTATTGAGAACCTTGACTGGACACAATTTGATAACAGGCATATACACATGTACATCAAATTGCATGCAAATTTATAATTGGTCTTGCTATAATAATGCATTTAGACTGCTTGGCACATTGTCTCCATTGGTAATGCTCAAAGCATCCCTATAATGCGACATTGGAGTATACTTTGTAGTCTGCTGGCATGCTGGCATGTACAAAGCTATTTCCTTGACTGGTTCATCAAGTAATGTCATAAAACAAGTCTAATAATTGTCTTATGAGTATTTGCAGAAAAGAATAGGCAGTGCCATTGAGTCTTATAAACATTGAGGAGGTATAAAAATAAGAATAGGTTTGCTTACGTCAATGAAAAAAGAAACCTCATTTGTCTTTGCAGCCGTTACGTTGATAGGAGTGGCTGTGTATGCTCCACTGAAGACGTTTGATTCGTCTGCTAGACTGGTATTCATCTCCTCTTCGTGTCCAAGCATCATCACATCCATGCTTAATTCGCTATCATCGTCTTCGCTATTGTCCCTGCTCAGGTCTGGAGTCGGAGGGAGAGATGAAACACGACGATGATTGATGCGATACGAACTCATCTGTAATAGAGAGAGGAATGTGATAAAGAATAATCACATATAAAGAATGCAAAGTATAAATGGACATTGTTGATCAGTGACAATTAATAGTGATTCATGTGCAATTTCACTAGCACTACTCAATGATGTCCTGTGCTATTCCACTAGAATTTATCAAAATACGGGTCTCTATTGTGAGATTTGAAATACAGAAGTATGCTATGTTTTTCTTGCGGTCATACAACTAGGTGTGAACGAGTCACTTACTGCTGCTGTAGAGGAAGATAAAGGCGTAGCTCGTTGTAATGGTTCCTGCTCACTCTTTCTTGCTGCTGGCTTTATGCTGGAATAAATGGCCGACGTATAACAGGCAACACTTCTCCACGGTAGCTGTTTATCCTTTAAACTATGTACTGAGCTGTCATGAGGCTTGCATTTTATATGAACGAGAGGAGTTGTAGCTTGACTAGTGGGAGTATGCGAACTTTCCACTGCAGCAGCCATAAACAACCGACTGGTTATTAATAGTTATAAATTTCTACTAATTAACACAACTTAATTTCCGGTCTATAGCCACGTCCACGTGGGAGGGGCCATCTTGGAAAGTAAAAGTACAGGTTCGACTTGCCAAGTCTATAAATGTGAGCTTATGGAGCGCCAGGCTACTTATTTGAGGGTACTTTCTTTTTTACTCATATTAAATTTGACTTTACTCCCCGTGTTGCAGGTATTAGAGGCTCAGAGGCGAAGACTCGGGGACTATGAGCAGATACACTTCAGAAAGAGTTGGTGAGTGGGTGTGTCAAGGCGTGGCCTTTATATGAGACCTTTCTCAATCTCTTGTAGGGCCAGAACAGCTTACGAAACTATCAGAGACAATGGTATAGGATAAAGATGTGGAGAGTCTTTGTCAAAATTATATTTTATTATCTAGACTCTGTTTCTCGTCCGCCTGTCTTACAGCCGCAAGTTTTGGACTTTTCTAAAGCTACGGCAAAACCTTATCTCCAACAAACTGAATCACTTTGGATGAAACTCGACCTCTCAAGACAAAATGGTACGATATACTAATAATATACTAATAATACACTGAAACTGCTTGGTATGTGATTGTGGATGGATGTAAATACTTCATTAGTGCAAATACTTAGAAATGTGGTTTTGACTTTTTTATTGTTTGTGTTCATATTTTAAGTATATTTTGTCGTGTGTTTTATAAACATTTATCTCTCATACACACACACAACTGTCTCTCTATTTAGCTACCGAAGAGCTTTTTGATAAGAAACCAGGAGTGAGTAGATATTGTCTGTCTATGATATATCACAATCATGTCCTTGTAGACTTTTTATGTTAGGAGTTCCAGTAGGTCAAAGTATGCCCTCTCAGTTCGACTGGACAGTACAGAGACCCCAGTGATGCACTACCTTGTTTATTGCAATGCCCAAGGGTTTTACGGGATACAGGGCTCCAACTTACAGTTTGTGAGTCTCTACGACATGTTGGCCTACTTCTGCTTCCAGCAAAGGTACAGTGTGTGTGCTGACTGTTATAGTTTAAAGAAGGGAGAGAGTTTATTTTATTGAGTGAAAGAGAAGGAAGCAGTGACTATGAATAATTGCCATACCATACACTTTCTTAAACTAACTATAACTAACATTAAAAGTATAATTATCAAAAATGCATCTTACTCCTTTCTGGCGTATCATTGTGCAATATAATTAATATGGAATACAATTAATATGTTTGAAGATGAATGTCTTGTATCATTTCCTTTCAGTGGCGGCATGCCTTGTTTACTGTCTCCTCCAACAATGCAGGAAAAGAGAGGATTCTATATATCTGGTCAGCCACACACATACATGTACATATACATGCAATACGATATGTGCATGTACATGTGAAATGCATAGCATATCATATTTATCATTGTTATCATTATTAAACAATAGATTCAGAATCCGATTCAGAGGAAGACGAAACTCAAGACGACGATCCCTTCTCTCCAGAGACGGAGAAGTTTCCGAATAACTCACGGCATCCCTTTGATCCTGCTAATCTGCCTCTCTCTGCAGGTAATTTGGCTTTTTGTGGATCATAACTATTCACACTACTGTAGTACCTCCCCCTTTACCTCCCCGCCCACAAAAGACTCGTTTTGACCCCTCCCAACACTATGAGGTAAGAGAGGAGAGAGAGAGCTTTTATTTCAGCTAATTCCATCTCTCTCTCTCTCTCTCTCTCTCTCTCTCTCTCTCTCTCTCTCTCTTAGATGAGTACTTCACACGTATTTGATCACATCAACTCTCTGGAGAAAAATGACTGCTCTTTAGCTACTTCTTCTCTTGACGAGGGGTTCCCCCCTCCCACTAGTAAAGGTTATAAAAATTTTGAGATATTAGCATCGTCTCTGATCGAAGACATCCCTTCATCTCGTAAGTCTGTGGTGATCCTTCCGAGCCAGCCACGCCCTCCACCCCTCCCACCAAAGACTGACAAACCACTAGTATATGACACGTGAGTTGAAATTGAAATTGTTATTACAAAATTAAATTCTAAAATTATTTTAAAATTATTGTTAGTCCTCCTGCTATTCCACCTCGCCCGGTACCTCCTCCAATCCCTCCTAGAACAAGAAGGAATACTGATCACTCGCCTCAGCCTGAAAGAAAGAGGTCAGTGGATACTCTAGGATTTAGGGGACACAGGAGAGCTGCTTCTGACTCTAGTGTAGTGTCTGGAGTATCGGAAGACCAAGAAGGACTTCAAATGTCTTCTCCTGCTCCTCCTCCTCTTCCTCCTAAACGTAGAGGAGATACAGTAGCTTTTGATCCAGGAAGTATTGTGACTGAGGAGCCTAAAGGAGAAGGAGAGAAGAGAGAAGGAGAGAAGAGAGAAGGAAAGAAAGCGGAGGAGAGAGAAGGGAAAGGAAGAGATGTTAAAATTGATAGTATCAATGATATGGTGACTGATGACCTTGATGAGTGGACGATGGTTGACCGACAGGTGACCGAATCTTTATCTTCTTCTCAACTACAAACTTCAATATCATCGGCTTCAACTCCCAAGACACAGGCTAAGAAGAAGAAGCAGAGGTGGACAAAGAGACGTGAGTCTGTACAACGTGCAATTAGGTTATGACTTTTTGTATTTCAGTCCAGAAGTGGAGGAGAAAGCCAAGAGGAAGATTAAAACATTATATACTAGAGTAAGAGAGCATATTTAGTCTCTTCTCCTTTCTCTACTATCATTTCTTCCTATCAGTCTAGCGGAAGACATTAATAGTGAATTTGGTGCTCGAGTCCATTATTTCCTTGAGACCATAGTCATGAAAGGGAACGAGCCTCACCAGAAACTACTCAGCGATGTGAGTGCATCCATTTGCTTTTAATGGCCATTTTGTTTTTTTGTACATAATAATTAACACGTAAATATCATTTAGAATCCCAATTTGACTTTAGTGATATATATATATATATACTGTATTCTTAGGTGAGGCAGTTTGTGAGCAGAATGAGGGAGCTATTGTTGGACGAGTATCGAGTACCGCTTCTCAGCAACGGGATGGACTCTTGTCGTAATTTTGAGCACCTGCTTGAAGCCACTCTCCAGCAGTGCATCACTCTACCTCTCCACAAGTTTTTGTTTGATAAAGTGAAGGATAATTTGGTCGCCATTGGATCTTATGGACAGCTGGAAGAGGCAGTGGATAACGCAAGAAAGAAAACACCAGAGGATTTGGGAATAAGAGTGAGGACTTGAAATATTTCAATGTCTGTCTCAGGGTTTCCCGCAGGATTTTAGCATAGTGTTCAAAATGACTAGGAGAGAATTCTCCATTTTTATAATATTTTCTGATACGTATACATGTTCTTATGTTGTGTAGCAAGTTTCAGTTGATTCCGATCAAAATTGGATTTTTTATGAATTTTTAAAGTTGCTCAAAAATTGGGCCAAATTGGCCAAAAATGACTAGGAGAGAATTCTCCATTTTTATTATATTTTCTGATGCATATACATGTTCTTATGTTGTGTAGCAAATTTGAGCTGATTCCGATCAAAATTGGATTTTTTATGAATTTTTAAAGTTGCTCAAAAATCAGGCCAAATTGGCCAAAAATGACTAGGAGAGAATTCTCCATTTTTATAATTTTTTCTGATACGTATACATGTTCTTATGTTGTGTAGCAAGTTTGAGCTGATTCCGATCAAAATTGGATTTTTTTATCAATTTTTAAAGTTTCATGTCATGTACCATTGTTGCAGTTCTCATGAAGCTTGTGCTGTTTAGCTCACACTTGGTATATTTTATGGGAAACCCTGATTGTTCTACCAACTTCTCCATTTCCCTTTCATTACTACCTTTGCCCTGTATCATTATAGGCCCATTTGCTAGTACCAACTGAAAAATCTCTCTCTGAAATTAAAAGCATTTTTGAGAAATTGAAGCAGACGCACTGTGCCATGAGGAAGCTTGAGTATCTCCTTGAGGCTGTACGGCTCACCTATGAAGGAGTCAAAGACGTCAACAATCCAAAGAAGAGCATGAATGACCTTGGAGCGGATGGTATAATATCATCTCTTTGGTGCTACGGTTTTCATGGTTATTTTATTTAGATTTCCTTCCGCTCTTTGTTTGGGTTTTGGCTCATTCTAATTTTATCTCTGCCGAGATAGAGGCAGAGTATATATGGGGCCTGGCCCATCCTTCTCTGTTTAATGGTGAAGGAGGATATTATCTAACAACACTAACTAGTGCTGGTATGTATGCATCATATATTGTATAGCTGGTCTCTTTTGTGTGGAATCAATTTCTATGCAGGCTTGTTAAATCCACTAAAATTGATTCCACTAAATTTTATTAACACCAAAAAATTCAAAATAAAATATTAGCAGAAATTTTGTAAATTACGAAAATTAGTTCCAATGAAAATTTACAACAATGAAAATTTTGAGGCCACAAAATAAACCAGCTATATGGTATGTCATTAATTGTTCTTCATTCCCCCTCTTTCTTTCTCTCAGTTAATGTGTTGAGGGAATTATGTAGTGAGACATACAACGCAGAAAACTTGAATAAGACATTACCAAAAACTTCATGTCTGAAGTCAGAACTACAGGTGTACTCATGTCTTGGTCCTGATCCTCTAAAGGTTACCTGCAATGATTGCTTTTTACTGTTTTTATTTCTTCGTTTTATAAATAGTTTGATGGACCTTTTTCAATTCCTGTGTTACCAACAATGACTGCTGCTGAAATATGTATGTTAGCCCATATCCACTTTATACATAATATGTACTGATTTGTATATTAGGCGAATTGCTTGCTTCTCGTTTCAATCTCACAAATTATGAAGAATATAACCTTTGCACTAGCATAGGTGATCAGAGTAAGTGCATGTTCATGTACTGTTATTTTCTATTCAAGGTGTAAAATGGTAGTGATTATGACTATAAAAATATGCGATTTTACCCTGAAAATTAATATTGTATTTAAATAATTAAGCAAAAATAATATAAAAAATGAAAAATTCTCTTGGTGCATTTTTTTATAAAGTGCCCTGTACTCTAGTGGTACATGGTCATTGGCTAAATTTTATGAGCCTGAGCTCAAAGTTTTTCATGTAACATAAGAACACCTATTTGTCACAATTATTATCAATTTTGTTGGCTGAAAAAAAACATCGAATGTTAGCTTTGGATTGAGCACATTTCCTCCAAATTATATGGAGCTCATTTTATGCCCTGCTTATAAAATACAGTGTAGTACTGATATACACTTTAAATGTTGGAAATCTTTTCCTCTCTAGTTACTCCATTAAATCCTACTGACTATCCTCAAGAAATTACAATAGATTGGGAGTTTGAGGCACCCGATGGAGAGCTACAAGAAACAGAGAAGAAGCTTGTATTTACCAAGAAAGTCAATAGATGATGATAGCACGGGGAGAGGAGAGGAGTTGTTTTGTGTCAAAAATCATATAATCATAACTAGCAATTACCAACGACATGTGTCAAAACTCAAATCAGATTTATTAGTGAAATTTAATGTTTTTTAAAGATTATTATTATCATTATTATTATTATTATTATTATTATTATTATTATTATTATTATTATTATTATTATTATAGCACAGGATAATTATACAAATCTTTGTGAGTTGTCCTTCAATGTACCGCTTGCATGAGATAGAGTCATTTGTTCTTCACGTCTCAAGCCATTATTAGTGTGTGTATCAATAATAAAAGCACTGGATCTATAAGAGAGACTCGTCACTTATTCCTTGATAGCAGTGCATATTCTGTACTAGTCCCCTCCATTAGGAGTACTCTTGTCTCTAAACTCTTTATTCTCTGTAGGAGACTCGTACCAGTTGAGGACGACCCTGTAATGAGAAAGATGGATCTTCCATTTGATCTTCTGATGACTTTTATATAGAATTTATATCTCCTGACCTTTGCAATCCAGAGCCTCTTCCAACTCCTGAACTCTCTCTTCCAACATTAAAACGTTTTTGCTACCAATCTCAGGACGTGGGTAGTCTCTCCCTTCCAGTATTAGCTCCGCCCATAGCTCCTCCCTCAGATTTGGTATGCTGTCATTCGGGCCTTCACTGTTCTTCACTTGTCGAACTAAAAAATTGATAACGTTAGTACCTATTGTTAGTTTGGATGATTTCCAGACACACAAACCGTGATTAGGTCTCCTATGGTATTCAATGTCAGTACGGGCACATCCCTCGTCACCTAAATGTCACATGATGCCAATCATCATGTAACAAGTGTATGTACCTGTAGCTGCTGTTCGACGGCTAAACTCGAGCTGGTTTGAGACGTCGATTTGTTTTCTTTTAAAACGAGTGAAAGCATCAATCCTTTGCATTAGCTGCAAACAACAATAAAGATTTTTTTAAAGCAGAAGAACAATATTCATTTTTATAATTATTTATCTATTTATCCCGAGATTTATCCATACCTCTTCTTTTGAGGCTCTGATGAGAACTGGTTTGTCATCAGTTCCATTGGAGGGAGTGGCTGAGCATTGAGTGCCTCTGCTTGTTTTAATGACCTCATCCTCAGTGAGCTCTATCTCGACCTGGACATCTTCCTTTGCTAGGAATATCTCTTCACTCATCATATCGATCACCAGTGCAGTGACAGGAAGTAAACACGTGGTCATTTTTGTTATTAAAGGCACTCCCATTTGTTATTCTCTCAGTGATCATGAAAATCTTTCTTATCATTTGTGTTCTCTTCTCTGCCTGGTGTCTCTCGTTCTTTCTGGACTGCTTCTTGTACGGTAGTCCCGTCCCTCTCAACAGTAGCCAGAATAGAGACGAGGCTCCTCCGTTTCATGGTGCAACATTGGATAACGTATTTTGGTTCTTACAGGTTTGATGACCCACCCTTTCTCTAATCTTTATGTTTACTCTTTTCAGGTATCAGATATTCACATTAGCGTGTACGTTGATCCTGGACGCTACGAAGACCTCAAGCTATTCATAAAGCAAGTTGTGGGGACAGTGAAACCAGCTGTAGTCTTTGTGACAGGTTTGTGATGTCTCTTTCCCTCTAAGTCTTCCATACCTCCTCCTCTCTCTCTCTCATTATTCAGGTGATATTACGGATGCTAAAGGAGCCGATCAGTTGTCATCCACACAGGAATCAAGAGAATGGCATATCTATAGAGACATTTTAAACCAGTCCCAATTCGGAGACATGCCATGGATTGACCTAAGAGGAAATCATGGTTAGGATATTGTGTATGTATGCATAATGTCCTCCTTAAACAATCCTTCCTCCATTTCCTTTTATATTCATTCTTTCTCTTTCATTTTTAAAGATGCTTTTAATGTCCCATGGAAGTATCACAGAGAAGACATGTATCGGTAGGAGCTCAATCTCATATTATATTATTCCCTTCACTCTTCCTCCTCTTTCTCTCTCTCTCTCTCCTTTTTAGTCAGTATGCTCTTAGCTCTACAAAGCATTCCTCAGTTGCATTTAAATGGTCCCATAAAACTAATTTTGGCGTCTATTCATTTGTTGGCATTGATGCTTGTCCATCCCCTGGACTAAAGAGACCTTATAACTTCTTTGGAGTCTTGCACGACGTAATAAAACGTTGACTTCAATTCCTCTAAATCTTCGTCTTTTTTAGGAAGATTTAACAATGATAGAGGACATAATGGCCGAAACAAAACGAGACAATGGAACCATTATACTCACTCATTATCCGTCATCGTTCATCACGTCCGACTATAAAAGAATGAGAAATATTTTTAGGTAAAGTCAATATGTATACATTGTACTCGTGTATTATTTGTATAAACTAATATTTATTTATTTATACATTTTACTTTCAGGCAGCTGTAACTAATTTAAATAGCATAATCTTAATAATAATAATAATAATAATAACAAAAATGGCATGTATATAATGCTATGTTGTATATATATTAGTTATGTGCTGTGTTTTCTTTTAGTCATTCTATTGCTCACTTGTGTGGTCACTTACATTCTGGTGGAGAATACTTCTTTGAGAGGCTAGCAATGTATGCTCGTCATCCTGACGGACATCTTGAATTAGAACTGAGTGACTGGAAGTTTGTGAGAAAGTACGAGGAATTATAAATTAACAGCTAAAGCATCATGGATATTTTTTGTTCCCACCCCCCCCCCCTCTCTCTCTCTAAAGGTTTAGATTATTAGCCTATGATCATGACATCTTATCATTTACTGACACTTCCTTGCATAAGTGGCCTCTAGTACTTATCACGAATCCAGTCAGTACACACTTTGCTTTACCAGGAAGAGAGCCCACTAGTAGAATCAAGCACTCAACTCATATTCGGTTTGTATTCTTGTTACTGTATCCAGGCCTACCTTCTACTCCCTTTCTACCTCTCTCTCTCTCTCTCTCTCTTTCTCTTTTAGCATTCTTGCATTTTCACTCTGGTCTATAACTGATGTCCTTGTTTCAATTAATGGTGGCTCTAATCAATCTGCTACTCTTGCGGCAAAAGGTCAACCTCTTTATGTGTTGCCTTGGCAGACTAGCCACTATATGCATGGGAAGCACTCGCTGACAGTTTTTGTCAAAGTAAGACTCCGCGTGAGGCTTTGTAAAGTAAAGTTTTTTAGGACTCTAAAGGAAACGAGGCAAAGGTTTCTCAGAAGTTTTCATTGGATGGTAGCAAAGACCCTCTAGATAAATTACCAGGGTTTTTCTTATTGACTGACCACAGATCATTTGTTAGTGGATACTCCTCTCAACCTCTTTGTCACCCTTCCCTCTCATTATTCCTGTTTGTTGTAGGCTAGAATGACCTTCTTTTCTTTGTGGCTGTTATTAGTTACTTGTTTGATGACTGCATGGTTTGGTGCAGGTGAGAAGCTCATCAGGTGTGTGTCTGTCATGACATGTACATGTGCATGTTGTAGGCTTTCAATATTTTCAAAACATGACAAGATATCCTCCAGTCTTTTATCCATTTTTATTTAACCTACTATATTTTGCAGTTGGTAAGGAGTATAAAGAATACGCTTTTCAATCATTTTAACCTTTCTCTAACTCACTCTCACGTCACAGGCCCATGGTACGTTGGTGAGGTACTCAGAGATGTCTACGGTCTAATATTTGTACATGGGATGATGGCCAGTGGCCACTTTATTCCAGGATCACTGACATACGTCCACGGAGTTGCTGAGGTCAGTTTTTAGACATCCATATATCTTTAATCATTAATGCTCTGTCAAAATATCTTTTATAGATACTGACTTATTATCTACCGCTAAGCCTGTATCTGTCTTATCTGTTGCAGCCCAGAAACTCAAAGAAATGGAGGCACCAATGTGTCCTCTATCTATGGATGGCCTTCATTGCACTGGCAATCATGTACCACATGAGAGGAGTTAGGAGGATAGTGAGGAGCTATGGGTGGATCTCCTTAATTATTAGTCCGGGATACTGCTGGACTCTTGTGTTAGGCGGACTGTTAGTTTATTTAGCAATTAGGAAAGGAAAACGAACATAATTTAACACCAATAATAATAATAATAATAATAATAGTAATAAACAATGATAGAGATGATTAAGCTACCCTTATAAATGATCAGTAAAGTGGTGAAATGGCCACACACATTGTATAATTGTGATAAAATAATAATAATTTTAATGGATCATCAGTCTGTAGAAATGTCTACTTGCTATCTGCTTCTTCTTGTTCTGCATCATCAGTGTTCTTGCTCTCTTTTAAAGGCAGTTCAGTTTCTTCAATCTTCATGATTTCTTCCATCTTTCCATTTTCAAGTTTTCCGTTTTCAGTGGAAGCAGTTACCCCTTCATCTTTCGTCTCTTCCAATTTGTCATCGTCTTTTTTTAATTTCTTTGCATCGTTAGTTCCTTTCCACGCAATCTCCTCTACTCCGTCTCCTTCTAATTTAGCCTTCAAACTGGCAGCAACTTCAGAGGCATTTTTTAATATCAGTTTTTCCATTAATCTCAGAATGATGCTGTTTCTTGTTCTTCCTGTGACTCTGTCACTTGCTAACAATTCCTTATCTTCCTGCAATAAAATATGAAGTAATATCTTTCTCAAATTTTCTCTCTTAAGTCTAAATTTTTTGGCTCAAAGTTGATACACAACATAAGAACATGTGTATGTATCAGAAAAAATTATAAAAACGGAGAATTCTCTCCTTGTAATTTTTCCCAATTTTTGAGCAACTTGACAACCCTGGTCCCTGGCCAAACTTAGTACAACAAAGTGTGTGTAGTTCCAGCTGTCAAAAACAAATTGAAACATTACTCATTAGTTACTGGTAGAGTGGAATGCCTCACATACTCTCCTAACATATTGTACCTCAATGGTTGTCTTATAGGGCAGCTGGAGCAACTGGCATCTAATAATCAGAAACAGATCTCACTGATAGTACACATCATTAAATCATTAGTAATGTATACCTCTTCTCCAGGAACTCCATTACTCTCTGGTCTCCTTGTACCCAGGCTTTCCTGTTCAATATTTCCTTTATTTGTTCATCAGTTCTCTTCTCTTCCTCCCATTTCTTCATCTCTTCCTCTGGTGTCGTTAGTAATCGCACAAAAGCAATTAGCTCTTCATTGAACGGCGAGTCACCCTGTGCCACTGAAAATGTACTCAGCCTGCAAAGAACAGTATACTTAAATGACACAAGATTGAAGACTCGAATTAATACATTAATTAATTAACAGCGGCTAATTAATCAATTATTATTTAATTGACTGACATTGTGAATCTGAGCCTCTTGACCATTCTCTTAATGCAGTCATTGCTGGCACTACTCACTCCAATCCATATCTTCACGTAATCATATTCATTATCCTCTACAGCAAATCCCTATGTAATAAACATATAATATGATAATAGTAATGATAAGTGTTAGCTACCTGATTAAGTATCATGTCACCGTTACCCCTGGGGCCATAAAATATCCTGAATTCATCCCCAGGGGACAAATCAGACATGCTATAAGAAATGCAGGCTTGCGTGTCAGTGTCAAAATCTGATAAAATCTAAAAAAAACATATACACCTACATTATTATTTTCTATCCCTTACTCTTCCTTGAGTATGATTAGCCATGTCCCACAGCGGTATTAATACCAGCTGGTTCTCTTTATAAAGATGAGACAACGACCGACTCACTGGGACTTTGTTCTGACGTGACATGACGCAACTCACCGCCCACTTGAAATCAATGAGATGAAACCCGACAGTGCATATGGGGAGAGAGAAATTGGAGAAGGCCTGAAATGAAGGATAAATAGGCAGTACTCAATGATAAAGACTGTATCAACAAAACACTTACTCGTAGTTGCTTGTGAAGGATGGCGTATAATCTTGCAATATTCCTTACTTGACTGATGCACTCCACTGCATTAAAAGAATTATATTATAATTCATATACATACAGGGTTTTGGTATAGCACTCATGCAGTTTAGCAAGTTTGAGGTGATTCCGACCAAAATAATTTTTTTACAAAATTTGAAAGCTACTTAGAATTTGGACCAAAATCCCTGTACTATTATAGTACAGGGTGTTTGGCCAAATTTCGCCAAAAATGACTAGGAAAGAATTCTCCATTTTTATAGTATTTTCTGATACATATACATGTTCTTATGTTGTGTAACAAGTTTGAGCCGATTCCGATCAAATTTAAATTTTTTATGAATTTTTAAAGTTACTCAAAATTTGGGCGAAAGTCCCTGTACTATAGTACAGGGTTTTTGGCCAAATTTTGCCAAAAATGACTAGGAGAGAATTCTCCATTTTTATAGTATTTTCTGATACATATACAAGTTCTTATGTTGTGTAGCAAGTTTCAACTGATTCCGATTGACTTTGGATTTAAAAAAAAATTTTAAAGTTGCTCCAAGTGCCATGCACTGTATTGCAGTATGCTTGCCAGTTGAGTAGGTACAATACATACATACATGTCTATACATACACACACACACACACACACGAAAGCACACATACTTAATACTGGTGAGCCTTGTAATTCTAGTAGATCCTCCTTATTAAAGAAGAGTGGCAAATTAAATGAGTTTGGAAGTACATCTAAAATGTAAAAAATACATAATGTTAATATAGTACAAAATAACTTAATTAGGTTTCGCAAAAAAAACTTTAAACCTTCTTCACATACATGTGCATAACACAGGCATCAAGTCAGCAAAAACGATATTATTTATAATTATATAATAATTATTATTCTTACTTATGTAGGGTTTCCAGAAAGATGAGAGTGAGTATCTTTCATTCAATAGCAATAAAGCCAACACGAGATTAGGCATTGCTGAGAGGAGTGGCTCTAACCGGACCAATCCTTCCATCTCCACAGACATCACTTTCTCTTTTGAGAAGAAAAGAGAATTCGGTATCTCTAAGACTTTGTCCTCTTCCTTGATACTTGTTCGTGCCCTTAGGCCGTAACCCATGGCACCAGGACACTCCATTATTTCAACCTGTAGAGGAGAAGGAGGGAATGACCTAAGGAAAAAGAAATTACTTTCTCAAATTTGGCACCGTTTGACGTAAGCCATGTCACAAACTCATCAACTGAGTCCTTCCTAGGTGGAAGAGGCATAGGAGAAGGGCCTATAATGATATTAATAATTCAATATGGTAAAATAGGAATTCTGGTATTATATATAATATATATATATAAATAGAAAATCTAATTTTTACCTTGACGCTGTTCAATGGCGTGCACAAGTTTAACTATAGCATCATATTCTTCCCATGTACTGGCATTTGGATTAGCAGTAGAACCAGGAGAAAACTTTGATGTCCCTGTATGTGTGTGTCACGAGGTCAACATAGCTATGACATATTATACTCACTTTCCAAAAGGCTGTCTATTAATCTTACGACTCCTTTGTCACTCAGAGCGTGGCAGAGCTTCTGTTTAGCCTCTGATTCTTGCTGTTTCCTTGACTTCTTTCCCATTAATGCTTTATGTGCATAGCACGTGGTTTAGTCACACCCAAAATCCCAAATTAAGAAATTCAATGATGGCTGATCACAAAATTGCAATTGAAGCTGATGCTAACAAGAGAGAAGAATTGAAGGGTTTCTTATACAAATATTGGCCTGATACAATAGAGGTATCACAATAGACTAGATATGATATTATTGTACTAAGGTTATCTATAGATATTGCATGGATTGAGATTGGGAAAGGATCATAATGCCAAGATTTTAATTGATAATTGGCCTGATGTAAAAACTGTAATACTAACCTATGATGAAGGAGAAACTACATGTAAGTAATCCACTTATAGGGGGGAAATTTATGGAAGCAGAATTTAAAATGTTTTGTTGTATTTTTATAGTAATTTTTTCATTTGGCACTGATAATTCAAAAACGGCTTCAATTTTAAGGTCTGTTATTGATTTGCATTTGAATGATTCACAGCAAATATTTACTTACGGTACTACTTCTCAATAAATCTGATTGTTTTAAGTATTTAACACAGGTTTTGCTGAAATTTTTCAAGAAACAAAGAAATTTAACGTAGATATAAACTATGAACCCTTTTTTCGATATGTTTACACAACAGATACAGTGATAGAAAGGTAGGTATAGTTGCATTTAATGTATTAAATTAAATAATTGTATAGACCAACTCTTCCTGAAGGATATAAAATTGATATTATTCATTCGTCTGATATTGATTTTGTGGTATCAAAATGGGGACTAGCTAAAGGTAGTCTCAAAATGAAACAGTTGATGAGGCGTTACATTACCAATTATCCAAATGTTGCAATTTATGATACATCAATCGAACCTCCTCGCTTAGTTTCATGGAATGTATCATCAGCAATTGGCTGCCTCTACCACTTTTTTACAGTTGAGGAACATCGTGGCAAAGGATTAGGAACCATTGTCAAAATAGAATTGTTACAAAAGATTCTAGCTAAAGGGATCACACCATTTAGTTACATTTATACTGATAATGCTAAAGCCCAAACAATATCTGAGAAGATTGGATTTGTTCGGGGCTCACTTTTGGCTGCTCAACTTATTTTACATTAAACCCTTTCTAACATAGACAGCTTTTTGCTGTCAGACCTTTGATGTGTTTAGGCAATACTTGGGCAAAAAGTTGTAAAGCTTTTCTTTACACATTTTGGCAACAAGTTACGACAACAAAACTACTGGCAACGAAGCTGATTGTCAAATACCGCTATAATGTGGATTGTTATGGTGTGGTTGTTAGTTTGAGAGAAGTAGGGATCTATATCAAACTTCAGTTACAATTGCACATTTAGTTACACTCCTTTTATATAAATAGAATTACAATTATGCCATGTTGAAGTAATTTCAATTAAAAATACTATTTTTAAATGTTTTGCATTTAACAGAAACCTATAGCTTGCTTTTTAAAATGGAATTTTATGATAACATATTGTCAATCAGAAAAAAATGATTAAAATGATGATTTTCTCCTATAGCAATTTTTGATGTGCATGCTGATTGAGCCTGAGACATATATCCTCTACTACTTATTTACAACTGAAGTTCCTTCCATTCTCAAAAATCAAATTGCCACTTTATTACACTGATTGTTACAATCTATATGGATCTAACTCTTAATATAATATAATAAAATTATACTAAAAAGTTATTACTATTATAACTTGCTCTAGTTGACTTGCCAGTGGCTAATCTCATGTATATAAAAAGGTGTGCCAACTGGTTGCAAATTAGTGGTTAGGTGATGGATCACAAAGTTGCTATTGAAGTTAATGCTAGCAAGAGAGAAGAACTGAAGGATTTCTTATGCAAATATTGGCCTGATACAATAGAGGTATCATAATAGACTACAAAGTAATAATTATTGTATTGAGGTTACTATAGATATTGCATGGATTGAAATTAGGAAAAGATCATAATGCTAAGATTTTAACTGATTGTTGGCCTGATGTAAAAACAGTAATACTAACCTATGATGAAGGAGAAACTACATGTAAGTACCTAATCCACTTATTTATGGAAGCAGAATTTAAAATGTTTTACTGTATTTTTACAGTTGTTTTTTCATTTGGCACTGATGATTCAAAAACAGCTTCAATTTTAAAATCTGTCATTGATTCACAATCAAATGATTCACATCAAATATTGATTAATGGTACTGCCTCTTAGTAAATCTGATTCATTTAGTTTTGCATAACATCAGGTTTTGAAGTTTTTCAAGAAATGAAGAAATTGAACATAGATACAAATTGTGCACCCTTTTTTCGATATGTTTACACACCAGGTGCAGTGATAGAAAGGTAAGTATAGTTGCATTTGTTGTATTTAATTTAAGTAAAATAATTGTATAGACCAACTCTTCCTGAAGGATATAAAATTGATATTATTCATTTGTCTGATATTGAATTTGTTGTATCAAAATGGGGAGTAGCTAAAGGTAGTCTCAAAATGAATCAGTTGATGAGGCATTTCATTACCAATTATCCAAATGTTGCAATTTACGATACATCAATTGAACCTCCTCGCTTAGTTTCATGGAATGTATCATCAGCAATTGGCTGCCTCTACCACTTTTTTACAGCCGAAGAACATCGTGGCAAAGGATTAGGAACAATTGTCAAAATAGAACTGTTACAAAAGATTCTAACTAAAGGGTTCACACCGTTTTGTTACATTTATGCTGATGATGCTAAAGCCCAAACAATATCTGAGAAGGTTGGATTTGTTCGGGGCTCACTCTATTTGCGTTACATCAATTAACTCTTAATCATTATTATATACATACATGTATATATATATATATATATATATATATATATATATATATATATATAACTAACATACATGTACCAACTACCAAGCCAACTTTCTTGTCAGTATATTATTGTTGTGGTTAGACAAAAGTTGTAAAAAGTATGAAAGCTATGGCACGTATGTTTTGGCAGCAAGCTACTGGCAGCAAAGTTGCCCAGCGTATGATACTCAAATACTGCAGTGAACATAACAACGGAAATCTGACAAGTTAGGTTCTCAGTTCAATCAACCAATGTAGAGGTGAGCTGACCTTTATTTTCAGTTGTGGGGTATGGCTGGGTACTGTGTAAACCAGCATTATAGGAACTCTGAGAACTGGCTCAACTGGGTTCTTTAATGCTAATAGCAATGGGTATTTATAATATGGCATCTTGCATGCAGCTGCTTTACTTTCTCGTCAAAATCAGTTAAGGCTGTAGTACTGTATGGTGTATATACATGTACAAATCAAATAATAATTTTTTGGGATTTTAATATCTTTATTGTGTTTTAGTTTAAATGTGTGTTCATATAATTTGTTTTATATGAACTGGTTCAGCTTGGAAAAAGCCCAAAAGTTTGTCATTGCGTGGGCGGACGAGTTCTGAAGAAATCGCCCACGCATTCTAGATTAGCTCAGGCTGGCCTTATCATAATGGATCAGGGTGCAAGTGAAATTGATGCCAGTAAGAAAGAAGAACTTCAGGATTTTTTATATAAATACTGGCCAGATACAATAGAGGTAACTGTGTAAAGAGAGAGCTTCATGAATAACTATTTAATCTAGATTGTAAATGGACTAAAATTAGGAAAGGAGTTCACTGCCAAAATTTTTACTGATAATGGTTGGCCTGATGTAAAGACTGTAATACTCATTTATAATGAAGGAAGTGTAACATGTAAGTCTTTCATAATAAAATCCTGACATAACAGCAACCACAAATGTAATATTAAAAACCCCTCGATCATCAATATGTGATCTGAGGTATTTATACCACTCTAATAAGATTCGTAGTTTCCCATTACAGAGGCGGGCCTAATGCAGGACAGGCAGGTTTGTTCATTTTCATTAAATTTATTCATTATCAGCTGTATAAACTGCTTGTATAATCAATGCAAAACCACAATGATGAATAGCCATGCAGCACTATGCGGGCAGGTAATATAATTTGAGTGGCCTTATTACCAATTCGTTTTAACATGCACATCTGTTTCTATATGTCCTTCACATTCATAAACAGTTGCTTAATATCCTTGGTACAATAAGTTTATGGATTATTTTTAAATAGTTTTTTTTCCATTTGGCACTGATAATCCAAAAACTGCTTCAATATTAAAGTCTGTCGTTGATTCAAACCTTGAGGATGGACAGGAACCATCAATTCATGGTACTAGCATCATAATGATTTGATTCATTGCTACTAATATTGTGTGCATGTACGTAATGTAGGTACTGAAGAATTTATTTTAGAACTGAAAAAAGTTATGGGGTTTCAAATATTAGCACCTCCCATATTCCGATATACTTATACAATTGCAAAAGACATTAATAGTGACAAAATGTTAGAGAAAAGGTAAATATTTTTTGCTATGCATTATATTGACAATGTAACATAGGCCTCTCCCCGAAAGATATAAAATTGATAGCATTCAGTTTTCTGATATTAAATTTGTTGCATCAAAATGGGGCGAAGGAGGTGACATAGCGCAGCCATTTATAAATAACTTAGTTACCAACTATCCGAGTGTTGCTATTTATGACACATCAACAGAACCTGCTCAACCAGTTTCATGGATAGTATCAACAGCTGTGGGGATCCTGTACCACTTATTTACAGTTGAAGAGCATCGAGGGAAAGGACTGGCCACCATTGTCATACAAGAGCAAACATGCAAGATACTGGCCAAAGGACTTACTCCATTTTGTTACATTTATGCAGATAATGTTAAAAGCCAAGGGCTCTTTGAGAAGTGTGGGTATGTTAACAACAAATTGCATTTGTCTTATACCCACCTGGACTATTAACTTGTGACTATTTGCTTGTTTAATATTAAAATTATGTCTATTTTTGATAATACTATTAAAAATTCAATAGCTAGATTATATGACTGTGGTGCATATAAAAAGCTGTAGATTTGTGCCAACTGCATAATTAAAATCAATACATAATAAAATTATAATAGTACTCACAAAACATCAAATAGCTCCCATTTTATTGTTTTTTTGAATCATAACACATCTGGCATAATAATAATAACAACAACAATAATAATAATAATAACTATTAAAAAATGAAATAAGAATAAATAAAAGTAAATGAAGTCAGATGAAAGGGATTATATCAGTGTGTAGGAGACTCTGTTAATGGATTTGCGTTGCTTCTCAGCGACAATATGTGTATAGTCACGTATTAAGTGAGCAATTTGAGATGCCTATGGCATTAAAAAGTCATTGGAATGATTTGAATTTGAAGCATGCCATATAACATGGTAATGCTCCATATTATTTGCAATTTAACTCAGTAATGATACACATGCTTGCATTATGTTGCATATTATTTTATATTTTTATGTCTGTATCACTACTTTTAGTGTGTGCCTTACTTGAGTTGTGTTAAATATGAATCTTGTTCCTCTGGTAAGACTGTCCATCACAATTAGAATACTCTTCAACGAAGGACTGAGAAAAGTAACATTTAAAAAATAGTTAAAGGCAAAATCACCACTTACCTATAATTGACAATGTTCTTGTATTCGTAAGAGACCAGTGGCTCCTTTTCCCTTCTCTTCAGTATATGTACTCCAGAATGATTAATTGCAAGCCAAAGACTCTTTGGAAGTGTTGTAGTGTGTGCCTGAACCACTTCAAATATCGTTGATCCATACAGCTGCCATTGTTGCGCAAAGGCAAGCAAGGCTTCATTGCACTCCTGCTCTGAAGTGTCGGAGTATTCATAGTGCTTGTGTCTGATGTTATCTGGATGAACTTTGTGCCTCAAGTGATTTGGGATTACTTGCTCTATGATAGACCTGGAACAAAAGAAATAATAATTAAACTTTCTGGAGTTTTTCTCTCACATGTAGTCTGAAAACTCAATGCTGTCTTGATAGTTTCCAAGCGTAGCTTGAGCTCTTAGTCCTGCCAAGTAAATCACTTCAGAGAGTGAAATGGGGAATCTGTCATTGACGACATCATCTATCACCTGCAAGAATAGAGAATAATTAATGTTTATGTTGTCTACTCATTTCTTTTGTATATAAGCATTAAAACACGTCACTGCATGTATTTTTATTATTATCATATTATTATTATTGTTGTTGTTGTTGTTGTTGTTTATTTACTTGATGCAGAAGGAGATTGAACTCCACATTGTCTTCTGGATTGTAGAATGGTCTTATGAAGAGCCTCTTCTGCAGAAATAAAAGTATCATTTATTGCTCCTATCAACACTGGCTGTACCTTAAACGTCAGTCTAAGTGTCTTTGTTGATCCAGTGCTTTTAGAGTACTTCTCCCACTTGAACATTGCATCAGATACTTTGTCACTTGGTAGCATATTACGCTCTAGTTGTCCAAGGACTTCATAAAGAGAGAATCCAAAGGCATCTTGAAAGAGACCAATCCTCTCCTGGACCATCTTAACGACCTGTTTAGCAAGTAATAGAATATAAGTCATGCACTTTAATAATTGCATGAGTTTGTTGTGTTACCTCTTCAGCTGTAGCTGCAGAATCAAACTCAAGTGCTCTGAATTGTCCATCAGTGAAATAGAACCTCTCGTGGATTGGGCGCCTAATTTTTGTTTAAGAGTGAGTGATGTGATGCACATCTCCCCCGTCTCTCTCTCTTTCTCTCTCTCTCTTTCTCAAGGTTTTCCCACAGGATATGGCATGGTCCTCATGCAGCTTCTTGTTAGTGGATTGTCAAGTTGCTAAAAAATTGGGCCAAAGACCCAAGACTATAGCCTTTGGTCATTGGCCCAATTTTTGAGCAACTTTAAATAGTCATAAAAAATTCAAATTTGATTGGAATCAGCTCAAACTTGATACACAACATAAGGACATGTATATGTATCAGAAAAAATTATTAAAATGAAGAATTCTCTTCTAGTCATTTTTGATGAAATTTGGCCAATGACCCAAGGCTATAGCCTTGGGTCATCTGCCAAAATTTGTCAAAAATGACTAGAAGAGAATTCTGTATTTTTATGATTACATATACATGTCCTTATGTTGTGTATCAAGTTTGAGCTGATTCCGATCAAATTTAAATTTTTTATGAATTTTTGAAGTTGCTCTAAATGCGAATGCTGTCAGCTCATGAGGCTCATGCTGTTTAGCTCACTTAGCATGCTTTGTGGAAAACCCTGCTTTCTCTTTCTCTTTCTTTTCAAATTACTTTCTAATAATGCACTGTATCTCTCTCTGTGACGGAGGGTATTTCCTATTCTTGCTCTCTATTGTCCTGTTGAGAGCTTTAAGACAGAACTGGGCATACTGTCCCTCCTCCGTGTAGGTGTCCAGTGTACAGCGACGGAGATGGGCCTGTAAGTAGTTAAGTATTTGCTTGTTCCTGGGGACAACCACCCCACAGGCCAATGATAAGAAACGCCAGTTTTGTACATTGATACGACCATTAGATTCTGAAAAGAATAAAAATACAATAAATTTAGCACATGCAAAGAACAAGACACAACTCTCTCTCTCCCTTTTTATGCTATATCCTTGCCTGGCTGCTCGGTGGTTTGTTTAATGATTTGAAGGTAGAACTCGTTGCAGAGTGCTTCTTTCTCCAGACATTTCTCAAGTGATAGCTGTACAAGAGTCATCACATCGTCAGGATTGACTTCATCAAATCCTTTACCACTTGAAGGAGTAATGCCTAGAAAATTATCAATATACTTTCATGCTCAACTTTGGCACTCCCCCCAACTCTCTTCAAATTTTCCCTAATACCGGTACATGTACATACAGCCCGTGCACTTACCTGAGTGTACTAGTATGGTATAAAATAGTTGCATGCATATCTCATCTTCCTCTACTCCTACACTGATTGTCAGTGGCTGCTTTAACATTGTCTTGGAGTATGACCAGTATGATCTCTTGTACAACTGTATTGAGACAACAAAAATCGCAATGAAATATTTCTTTCTTTCACTTCATTTTTTCCGATACAATTTCTTGTACTTGTTTTTTACCTTCTCATAGTCTTTTCCAACTGTTCCTACGGCTGACATTTGTTCCATTTTTTGTTTGTTGACATAGCGGCGTAGCGTTGTTGTCAAAAACCCTGTTGCCTGCTCCACCGGTTGCCTTAAGATCCCATGCTCCACAAGTGACTTTCTCAGTGTTGCTATGTCAGCCCATATCCTTGACCTTTCCTCTTCACTCACTTTGACCTAATAAAAAAAGTAAATTTGTACAAATCATTTTATTAAAAATTATTGTTGCACTTACCACATTTGTTTTTACTTCTCCCACTCTGTGCCAGTTCTGGTGCTGAGGAGAGTAGCTAGCAATAAGATTGGCTATGTCCTCCTTCTGTCCCGGCTTTGTTTCAAAATTAAATGAGACTTGCTTCTGATGTGCTTCGGTTATTTTCATGTTCAGAGTAATGGCATCCTCGACGATATCAACCGCCACGTTATCCAACTCGTTGTAATTATATTCAGCCATTACCTGGACATACATGTAACCAATAAAGGCAGCTATAAAAACAAATATTTTCTGCCCCAGCCATTATGCCATGAGTCAATTCCAATTAAAATCAAAAAGTGCAACAATTTTTAAGCAAATAATATATCATTTTAAACCTTTTTATTTCTTACATTTTTTGTTTTTTGGTTGACAAATTTCACTCCTTCAGCTCCAACAGCAAGCATCAGTACATTTGGGTGTGACCAGAATCCCTTATAAGTCACAGGGAACTGTGCGTAGCCATACAATGGGTAATGCTTGACAGCAGTCAGATACCAGACTTTAGCTTGTAATGCAGTTTTACCAGTACCAAACATCTACATGAAAAAAAAGAGAAACAGAATTAAATGATGGATAAAGCAAGGGCTGGGTATTTCATTCCCCAATCTCTTCGTAACTTTTTTATTTTATTTTATCTTTTAAATTGTACTGCTCTCACCTCATGTGCTTCTGCTATTGATTTCTTCCAGTCTTCTCTTGTTTTCAACCTGTTGCTTGACAGGATCCGTGGATGAATGTACTGCTCCAGTTCATCATATCGGCTCATCATTGTCCTGTCATAGGAACCCCATAGGACCTGAGCATGAAGACCAGCCAATTGAAGTGCCACTTTCTCATTCAGTGGAAACTCATCCAACTGCAGGATAGAACAAAGAAGATAAAAATAGCATTATTATTAAAGAATTCCTGACCTTAGCTACTGAATGAACAGCTTGTGCATACATTAAGTGATACTCCACTGGGTCATCAGGTATCTCCTTGGGTCTCCTAAATATCCTCTTACGGAACACAAAACGAGAGTCTCCTCCTCCTAGAGCAGCTGTGAAGGAAGGTCTCTTACTGATAGTTGTGTACTGAGTCATACGCATTGAGGATCTCTTGTCCCTAGAATGAAAAATTATTTATTCGTTATTTTCAAAATTTTCTAATGTAGATAAAAGCTGACCTTTCCCATTGCGAGAGGATGTCAGAAATATAGTCGTGACCTTTAATAAAGTGTTCTCGGTCAGGGTTGACTTCAAACAGGCCCCACCCATCGCTAGACTGGAGGTCAACGCGACTAGCAAGACTCTTAATGACGTCTGAAGCAGTAGCTGATGGATCGACACCCATAGCTTTAGCTTTGCCATCCAAGAAATAAAAACGACAGATGAGCTGTGATGGAACCTTAACAGCCTTTGATAAAATAAAAATATGCCATAATACTAGTTTTATTATCAAGCAATTAATGCATAATAGTGATATGTGTAGATCTAAGACATCTAGTCTCTTCTCTCTCACTTACTTCAATCTCAATGCTTGATGGAGGTAGTCTTCGTGCACTGGGTTTGACCGTTCTCATTGTTTGGAGGCACATCGAAGAGAATTTACCAACCAAAGGATCACTGGACTTGGTCACAAAGAAAGCTTGAAGATACTAAAAAAGAAATACATGTAAATTATAAAAACCAATATAACACATTCAGTGTATGTACTATTGTAGTGTTTGTCAGCTCATGAATCATGCTTTTTAGTTCACTTAAATTGCTTTCTGGGAAACCCTGGGTGACATCATTCCAACGATTTTACCTTGTTAAAGTTTTTGGTAGGTGGGAATGCAATGGTAGCTAGAGTAAGAAAGTGCCATCCTCTAAGAGTTGCCTCTTCACTTGGGTTTTCCGTCACTTGTCTTATAATCTGACAAAAGATCTCATCTCTCAGCTCGGTTCTATCAATGCCGTATGCAATGATACTTTGAATTATCAGATTGACCTGATCTTCCTTGATGTCTCCCCTCATATACCTACAGAGATCCTTGAATATCGAACAAGAGAGATTGACATTCTCTGGCAAGTGCATGTGTATCATTGATGTTGGGAGTGACGTGTTCTTTGTGAACACAAGCATCTCATTCTTTGGTAGTGGATCTTTGATTCTGGATGGCATACGGCGAAGTGAAAAGGTACTGAAACCTCCAGTGTCTTTTGGGAAATCATTGAAGTACATCTCAGCAAATTTTAAGAGGGGGTAAGCCGAAGGGTCAAAGCTAGTCTCGCCAGTAGCACCCTCGTCGTCAATCCCAAGAGACTTTTTGAGTACTCTTCTCTCTCTTTGGCGCTTACGTTGAGCTCTTGATGCCTCTTTAGCTTCAAAGGTCAACACTGGAGGTTTGGGTGCTTCCCTTATCGGCTGCATTGGTAGTCTGGCACCCTCAGACTGCTGGAACATGTCCTCCAGATCTTGAGACAGAGAGCGAAGAAAAACCTTCTCGTCCTTACCAGCTTGCGCTGATTTGGGATCTTCTTTTAGAAATATGAACATCTCATCGAGATTGACCTGTCCTTTAGTGTCGACGGTTCTCTTTGCTTTCTTGTTTGCCATTTGAGCTAGAGTGAGTAATTCTTTCTGAGCCTCCTTGAAAGCATCTTCCTTCTCTTTCTCTTCCATTTCGATTCGTCTCTGCTCGTCTTCCCTTCGTCTTCTCTCCTCCTCTTCCTTTCTAAGCCTCTCCAGTCTCTCCTCCTCTTCTCTCTTCCTCTGTCGAAGCTCTTCCACAAGTATTCTTGCAAATAGCGCTCGTACATGCGCCTGTATCAATATTGCCGCTCTCTTCTTTCGAAGGAAAGTGATCCTCTGTCTCTGCCCACGGAAATATTTCTGAATGACAATTGTAGCTTGTCTTGTTTGGAGGTATCGCTTACGTATCCTGTACCCACGCCAGATCTTTTGTATTATGATCATCTTTGCCGTGAGGAGGCTCCTCCTTTCCGTCTCGAGAGGCTCAAAAACTGAATTTCGTAGAAAAACCTTCGTTTTTCCGATTTGCCACTCGGTCTCTGGGACTTTCAGACTCTTGAGTATGAATGCTACAGCTTTCTTGTTGTCGTCAGGGAGCTCAACTTGAGCAAGACACCGGTATTTCTCTAAGAACTCTTTGGCAGGAACATGAACCGGATACCCCTAGAGTATCAAGTGAGAGCAATTAAGCATAATAACATTATTGTACTTCTTAAAAATAATAAATCTTGTAAAATATATTTATTACCTCTTTCCTGATCCTGACTATATCAAGCATGCCTGAGTATCGTAACTGTGACAGTATCAGTTCATCATCGTAAGAGGATGCACCTTTATGATGATTCGGCTTTAAACAACGAACATACCTAAAATAGACCATTACAAACAAGTGAATTTACTACAAGAATATAAAGCACAAGGATATATACGACTAATAGTATTCATGCATTGCAATTTAATTCCAAGTGTGAAATAAATTGATTTTTAAGGATAGCATACATTGCATGCGATAATGGGATTCATTCAAGGGAAAGAAAGTATTGATAATAAATACTTGAAAGGGCTGAATATCATTAGTGTCATCATGAATCCATTCCTTTAACTCACCAGGGTGTTGTTGCATCAAGCGTATCAACAAGTGCAAGGAGCTGAGTTCTAAATGTATCGCCGACCGTTGGCTTGCCCTTCATTGTCTTTGTACCACTGACAAGACTCCTCGAGGCTGTAGTCCTACTCTTTGCCATCTCAAGATAAGTTGAGAGCATGTCCTGTATAAGGAATTAATTATTAACAAAATGGCTCACATTGCAATCTCTAACTCTGTATTTGGCAATTTCCAGTACAAATGGACTCTTGGAAGACTCCATTGCATCAAAAAACATCTCCTGCTGCACGTCTTTGTTTTTATCAAGGAAACCCTCGATGGTATAGATGACGGGTCCAGCATAGTGTTGTATACCAAACTCAATCCCCCAGCGTCTCTTGTCATCTCCTTTTATGAAGTTTGGATGCTTGACCACCTCATGGTGAAGTTTACTGAGAAATGACTGATCAGTTCCCTGTCAGAAATATGAAAATCACCATAAACTGATCATTTAATACTTGCCTTTGGAAACCTGCACTCTTCATCGAGGAGTCTTAAAATACACTTAGGTGCCTAATAAAAGATAACAATTAAACAATGTACACTTTCAAAGTCTCTCTCTACCTTTTCAATGAGTTCCAGACAAACTGTGTTATCAGTGAATGTGATGTGAGAGAACTTTATCCCTTCCTCTTTGTACTGTAATGGGAAAGCACAAAAACATAAACAGGATATTTGGAGAGCACATATCAAAAACTCACCACTTGCTGCTCAAGTGCAAACACATAGTGATTAAAGAACTTGTGTAGCTTCTCATTTGTGTAGTTGATGCACAGTTGCTCAAATGAATTAATCTAAAAGTCCAAGATGATAGAATAATGCTAGAAATACACTCTGAATTACTTTGAATTTCTCAAAACCAAATATATCAAGGACACCAATGAATCTGGAGCTATCAGTCCCGGGATTGTTGCAAGAGTTGATTTGTTGTACAAGCCAAGTGAACACGCGAGAGTATAGAGCCTTAGACATTGCATGTCTGTTCTCCTTTGCCTAATAGTAAAGAGAGACATTTTTGAGCTCATTTGAAGCTCTCATGGGCATAATATTCCTGTATCTCTGAGTGTAGGCAAACATGAAAAACATTAATTATCAACAAACAACTTGAAGCAATTACAAATCTAGTAATATCACATTGCATGATTGATCAATATGTGAGTTCATTAAGTAGCCTACCTCTTGATATTTCAATGCTATGTTTGTCACAGATCCTCTGACATGAATCTCACGTGATGTACATATTTTTTCAATCACCGACTCCTGAATCCCGAGAAGGACTGCTATTCTCTTAATGACAGCCTTGTCTTCCTTTGCCAAGTGACACGCCTCCTCATCTTCACCTCCAAACTTGAGGTTGCCGATCCATAAAATGGCTGACAGGACACGAAAAATCCCAGTCACAAGTTCCGGGGATATGTGAAGCACTTGTAATGCGAGACATAGATCGTCAAACATTTTGACATCGTCAATGTTTTCAAGATCATAGCAACCACTCTGGTTGAGGTAATTAAAAGTGTGGGCAGGCTCAATGAGCAGCTCTTGTTTTAGTTCTGAGTTTCTCATGGCTCCGGCGATCATCTGATAAAATATGTGATAGTTTCGCTCGTTTGGCGACTGGAAGCTAATTCTCGATAGCTCAAGCAGATAGTCCTGAATAATGCAGCCGCTGATCTGCCCTCTCTTATCAAAGCAGACTTGAATGAACTTGCCAAAACGAGACGAGTTGTCATTTCTCAGTGTCTTTGCATTACCTAAATAAGTCATATTTTACACACAATAAAGCATATTGAAGACACATATGCATACCAAATGCCTCCAGTACTGTGTTTGCTTCCAGGATCTGCTGCTCTGCCCATCTTGATTCGCTGTATGTCACAGCACAAAGATATTGTAATATAAATTTTGTAGTCTCGGTCTGCATTGAGAAATAAAAGCGTTAGAATAAAATTAATTTCATGACTACCTTTCCAGCTCCACTTTCACCGCTGATGATGCAGGATTGATTCTTTCTCTCAGTCTTGTAGTAGCGCAGTGAAGCCTCTGCTATGGCAAAGACATGTGGGGGCATGTCAGTTAATGATTTTCCAGTGTAAGCTTCAATGGAGTCCTGGAGGATAATGAACATTTTATGA